TCCTATCCAATCCCCGTAGGGTGCTGTGACTTCTGGTCTGGAGCACCAGCCAGGAACTTGCTTGGCTGATCTCGACGACAACCTGCGTCCACTGGGATTGGCTGGCGGGACGCCTTACCCGAGTCATCTAACCTTGGCTGGCATGCTTGCTGTTGCCCGATCTTGGCCCCTCGTGGATCTTCCGGGAGGCCTTTTACTCAGGTTAGGAGACGAGAGTAGCTACGGGAACGAGGCCGAAGCTTCCAAAACTCAAGTTAAAAACTGTATAAATCACCATCGACTTTGCGTTGCTTTGCAACCGGACGGTAGGACTATAAAGGGGGTTCTCGAGCCAAACCAAAAACCCCTCGACACCACTCGCAAGACGATACGATGGCTCACACGCCGAACAACAACCCCTTCTACGAGTATTTCGTGGATGATCCGGAAGTAAGTAGAATCATGCCGGGCATCAACTCGCACTCTCGGCTGGCCTCTTCCTCCTCGAGGCGATATATCGCCATCGGGAAGGGGGCTAGTCTCTCACGACGGGTTCAGTTGGCCAATCCTTCCTTCACCACGCCTGTTCCGCTTAGTATAGGAGGCGCAGGATGCGGCGAAAGAACTGTAAGACCAAGTGGTTAGAAGTGGGCATGCAAAACGACACCGCAGCACCGAGATGAGCCCAACCCTCCCGAGGGTTCGGTGATAGGTCAAGCCATGACCATGGAACCATTCAACTTTTCACATATGGGAGGAGATATTCGTAATGCTCGTCCAAAAGAAGATGGGTATATGTGCGGGCGGCTGGCGGAGGTCCAAGGGCGCCGAAAATTCACGTGTCATCCATAATGGGGTGATATTTCCAGCTGCTGACGAGACAATATGACGATGAGTTTGAGGGGGGAGAAGAACGAGCGTCGTTTTCGAGAGACTCGTTATCCGCGAAAGAGGGAGGGAGAGAGAAAGAAGGAGAGAGGAAGAGAGAGGAGGAGAGGGAAGAGAGGGAAGAGAGGAAAGAGAGAGAGAGAGAGGAAGAGGAAGAGAGTGATAAAGAGAAGAGAACCAAGTCTGACCACTATTTCAATCAGCAGATGATGGCATCGACGCCGATGCCCCCGCACTTTCCTCCCGACATTTCCGGAGGAACTCTCGACTTTGGCGACCGCCCGCACCACGCCACCCGGCCCGGTAATCAGCCCACTCTGTTGAGTCCAGACCACAATCGCCCCAACGCCTTTAACGAACCGAGCAGGGCCACCATTGCGAGGGTGCAATCACGCCAGGTCGCAGATCTACAGCATCAGCTGCCACAGCACGAGCTCCATCATTCAGCCCTGGGACTGGGGTTGACGCATGCAGATTATGCCCACCAACGCCAACCCGGTCCAGGGGCAACGTCTCTGGCCGATCAGCAGAGCTTGTCGCCGCTGCTCCGTTCGCAGGGCCAACAGCAACAGCCCAACGCGTGGCTCCCGCGCGAATATGGAGTGGTCCCTGTGTACCATGGCAGCCAGCAGCAGCACGCCGATGCGACGTCTTCCCACCCCTCCTTCTCCGCCACGGCAGCAGGCGTCAACCCATCTGCCACCATTCCTGCTGCTGGAGGTCCGGGCGATGACAGCAGCGACAGCTTCGGCACCGGCCGTCACTTGTACGATTTTGGATTTGCTGCACCGCCACCGGGCGAGCCGTTGTTCCTTGGCCAAGAATACGCCGACATCACGCCACTCTCCTCCGCAGCGCACCGGCAACCGCCAACAACCAACTTGGACCTCCACCCTTCGCCGTGGCGGCCTGGGCTTCAGGACAGCAGCTCCGTTACTTTGACGCCCAGCATGGCAGCCGTCGCCGCAGCCGAGCTGAACCACGATGCCCGAAAGCACGGCAAAGGCAGCATGGATACCGACGACAGTGACGTCAGGGACCCTCCACGGGACGACGAGGAAAGCGCAGTGCCGGAGGCAAGGGTCGACGGGACCGCAGGGACGAGCAAGGCGCACAAGACGGTGCCCGGGGCTCGCAGGCAGCAGAGGAAGGGCAAACGCCGCGCCGAAGGCGGCCACGACCACAACGACGAAAACGACGACAACGACGACAACGACGACGACGACGACAACAACGGAGGAGGGCCCGTCAACCCCGCGGACCGCACCGGCGTCAGCGGCCGATCGACCAGGTTCTCCTCGGCCGTCTCGTCCGCCGGCTCTTCCGCCGGCTCGAGCGGCAAAGCGGCGGTGGCGGCGCCACCGCGCCTGCGCAGCGCCTCCCGCACGTCCAAGAACCAGTCGCAGAAGCAGACGGAGACGCCCGAGGAGCGGCGGACGCGCGCGACACACAACCTGGTCGAGAAGCAGTACCGGAACCGGCTGAACGCCCAGTTCGAAGGCCTCCTCCACGCCCTGCCGGAGCAGGTGCGCGGTGCGGCCGGAGCCGGCGCCGGGAACGGCGACGAGTCGGACCCACCGCAGCAGGCGGACCAGGAGCGGCGGGTCAGCAAGGCCGAGGTGCTGGACATGGCGCGCCGGCACATCAAGAACCTGGAGCAGGAGCGGGAGGCGCTGCACCGCGAACGCGGCGAGCTGCTGCGCAGCCTGGAAACGTTGGAGAAGGAGGCGGTCATGGACGAGACAAGCGCGTCGTCATGGAGGAATACCTAGGCCCCAGTCGTCTCTCTCTCTCTCTCTGTCACAGTCCTGCCCAGCCTGCTTGCTTTCTGGAGCGTGAAGCAAAGCTATCCACGCTGTGTACGTCGTGGGGGAGGGGGGGAGGGGTGTGAGCTGGAAATCTCGGAGGAAGTGGTGCCGGAGGGGGGCAATGGGTCTTTCGGAGCTTCGCCGACCGTCCGATGGCACGCCGTGTGTGGGGGGAGGGGGGCAGCCATTAGCCTGTCCACTTATTCCCGTCTTTACACTACCTAGTATAGACATCTAAACTGATCGCTGAACGGAGATACTATACACTGTTGGGATTCCCGGCTTCATCTTTTCCTCCATTTTTCTTCTTTTTCCAACACCTTGTCATTCGGATCGACTTGTTTATGCTTTTTATCGAACCCCCCCCCAACAACAACAACAACGGACAAACTACCGGCGCACAGGAAGGGCCGTTCCACTCCACGCGGGAGAGAAGTGAAGAAAAGACACGGGCGTGATTAGGCAGTCATCACGCGCAATCCAACAATGCCTCAGGTGATAAAGAACTGTACGGGGGGGGGGCGGTCTCTCTAGCTTTAATCCCAGAGACCGAGCGGCCGGTAGGGACGCGGGACGACAGAACGGTGGATATATCGGGAGAACGGGAGAACGGGAGCGAATCTACCAGTGAGCGAGGGGGACTGGTAAGCGGCGGTAGTTCGGGGCCATTTATCCCCCCCTACCCTCCCCCTGCCCCACACAATGCTGACATCTGGAAGAGGTTGCGTCATGACGGGTGGTTTGGCATGCAATGTAGCATCAAGTGTCACGCGCGGGCAGCTTGCAGGAGTTTGCTTGTCCTGGCTTTGATCGACTGGCTGGCCGACTGGCTGGCCGACTGCAGCGACATGCTCGTCGCCGACGCGTCCTTCTCCGTACGGCTCGTCGTGTCATGCAAACAAGGGCCTTATGGGCCCGGCCGGCCGGCCATCCGGGGGAAGTAGTTTGCGGTCTCGCACAAACCCTTTGGCCCCCCCCCCCCCCATTTCCCCATTGTCCATATATCTCTCTCTCTCGTGTGCCGTCCTCCGGCGGAGAAGCGTGGGATGTGATGATGATGACGGAGGACAGCCCGGAGCCAATGCTCAAAGTAGACGCCGACACTCGACCTCCCCTTCGCTGGGGCTACGTTACTCATCTCACGCTTGATCATCGCTGACTGACCGAATGGCTCCCACCAGCCAGACAAACAGGATCGATAAGGGGGGGGAAAAAAAGGGGCGGGGGGAGTCAGCGAGTCAAAGAATCAGTGCGGACAGCGTTTGACAAGTTGTTTGAATTATTCAAAGTCCAAACGGGGAGAGCCCTTTGGGATTTTTTCTCCTAGGGAGGGGAGGGGGAGTATGCTTCCAAGCCTGCGATGAAATAAATAGGTGCCGGCCCCTTATTTGGAACATGTTTTATGACTCTCATCTCCGCTGGTCCCGTGGGACTTCCTCGCCCCTCCCGACGTGTATACACAAATAAACTCACACCGCGCCTACCATCTATCATCCGGCACTGATTAAGCCCTGTTCCTTTATGCCCCCTATACCTCTCTTCTCTCTCTCTTTTTTTCTCTTTTTCCCTTTTCGGATATAAATCTTCATCTTTTCAAACCCTGAGGCCCTTTTTTTTATTTTATATATCGTCCTTCCCTTCCCCCCCCGTCATGAGTCCATCATATCGTATCCAGCGAAGGTTCCGTGCCGGCCCCTTTCGGAGTTGGCACCGCTCTCTCTCTCTCTCTCTCTCGCCTTGAGGTTCCTTTTGGTACAAAAAAATAACAGTAATCGGTGGATAGCGGTGGTGCTAGCGGTGGTAGTATATATGTTGTCGAGACAAAGAGAAAAAAAAAAAAAAAAGTCGGAATATCAAAGTGAGCCCGTTGTGGTGGTGGTAGTGGCAGTGGTGATGGTGGGTACTTCGCTGTTCCCACCCCCTCCTTCAGAGAAGGGCCAGTAGACAAAAAGGAAATGTTGTGATGCCGAACCGCGGCAGTGATAGTAGGTGGTCGGAATGGGCGATGGGCCCTGTTGGTCTATGTGCGCAAGATGTGTGCAAAATAAATATCGAATCCGTGAAACTCCTCCGAATATGCCCCAGGAAAATGTTTATGTCGAATCACGGCAGTCTCGAAGCGCCGCCATGAAATGTCGGGAAACAAACAATAACGTGAAATGCGCCGCCGCTTGGTGCGACCCGAGACCGTGTCACTTCGCCAAAGGCCAGAGAGGTGCACGCGCGCGCATGTGTGTGTGTGTCTGTGGAATATGAGTGGTTTGGAGATCTAGTAGGATGTTTGTGTATGGTGTCATTGGAGTAACACGCTGTCATGGATAGACGTTAGATGCGGTTGCCGCAGTAGGTGGGTGGGAAGAGGGCGTACTGCCCGGGAGGCGGCGGGGCGCTCAACGTTTGCGCGCGTCGGCGTTGGTGCTGCTTGGGGAACTCCCTCGTCTTGGGGAGCGGGAGGTGGTCATGAGACTGACTGGCGTCGAGACGTCCCGAGGCGGCGCGGATGTCGCCTGTGGAACGCGACGTGGCTAGGGCCTCCTCGAACTCGGGCAGCGGTGTCATGACGGACTTTTGTCCCCTGGGCGATCCGAGGGCGAGCTCGGACAGGCCGTCGGTGCTGAAAGAACGCGAGTGCTCGCTGCCTTCGACCTTGGGGTTCCACCCCTCGAATGTCGTGCTTCCCGTGTATCTCGTCAGCGCCGTCCACGTCGAGTTGGTAGAGGCGTGGCGCGCGCCGGTAAAGCTGGACTGGCCCGACGAGTTGCTGCCGGTCGTCGATGTGCTGGCGCGGTCTCTGGAGAACAGGCCCGGCATTTCAATCGTCAAGGCCGGCTCTTCGTCAAACGAAAAGCGATCCGACTTCTGCCTCGAAATGTTCGCGGGCAACGCGTCCGTGTCGGAGTCGGCCAGCATCTGCTGGTGGAAATCCCCGGGGATGAGGAGTGACGGCGACAGGTTAAAGCCGTGCGACTCCTTGAAGCTCGAGGCTTGCGATGCCGTCCTCACGTGGAGGTGCCCGTTTCCTCTGTAGTTTGTCTCTTTTCTGGGGTGGGAAAAGTTGGACTTCACAGGCAACGTTGTGGTGGTCGGCGTGATGGCTTCGTGGCCATTCAGAGACGTTTGGCTGGCGGGGCTCAATGCCGGGAGGTTGTCCGCATAGTCGCTCGGTGCCGGCTTCAACCCGTCCGACAGCGGCGCTATCAGAAAGCTGTCGTCGTAAAAGGATGACTCGACGAAACCGTCCCTCACGAGGTCCAACGACGGGCGGTCCCATGCATAGTCGCAGTTGGCCTCGGCCTCATGCTCGTAGCAGTAGTCGATATCGTCCTCCCAGTTGGCCGGGAGTGAGGCTTCGGCCACTTCTTCGGTCTCCAAGACCTCCTGTAGCGCAATCTGTGCAGCAAACATGTCGAAGCTGCCCAGTGTGTCCGACGCGCCGCTCAGTGGCCGTTCCGACTCGTCTTGCGTCTGCGCTAGTCTTCGTAGAACAGGCACCGACTGGCTCCCTCGGAGGGATGACCGCGTGCTGGGCAAGCTGCCGCAAGATTCTCCAGACGGGACATACTGCTCCTCCTCTTCGGGCACGTCGGGCAACGCCCCCTCACAAGAGAAGCTGGTGCTGGCAGTGAGCGGCCATGCCGCGTCGTCGGGGGTTGTGATTGCGTGGGAGAATGGGGGGTCTGCCAGCGCCTCCAGACCTTCGCCGGATGACGGGATACCCTGGGCGGCGACCGGGGCTTCGATGGCTTCCGCCCCCAAATCAAAGGGAGTGCTGATCTGGGGGCGTTCCGGGTTGCTGTCGGTGGTGGCGAGAGAGTCCTGGGAGGCCGTGTAGCGCGTAGCGATCCGGCTCGATGATCTGGGCGGGGGAAGGGGCGAGGCCGGAAGAGTTGGGGACATGGGCTCCTCGCGGATGGGCGACCTGGGCGGCCGCGGGGGCGCTGGCCGCGGCGGGCTCGAACGAAGTTGCTCCTGGGAGCGCGTGCGTTTGATCAACCGCCTAGGCGCTGAGGGAGGGCCTATATGCCGTGTAATGATGAGCGAGCGGTTGGGGGGCTCTGCGCGAGGTTCGCTGGTCGGGGCGGTGGTGTCTCGTTGCGTGTGCAGCGCCTCGGACGAGAAGTTGGCAAAGTGCAGGTCCTCGACCTCGATCCCCCTGGGCTGGCCGGTGGTCGGCCGTTGGCCGGCGCGGATGGCGGAGAACTCGGTCACCAGCTCGGCACGGCTGCCCCGTTCAAGGTCCGGCAGGTGGTCCCGCTTGGTGTGAGTAACGTGTTGGAAGTTGTAGGGGCCCGATATCTGCAACTTTCGTCCCATAGGCGAGTCGGTGGCACCTAAGTCGTCCTGTCTTAGAGTTCTGCGACGGCCGAAAATGGATGGGATGAAATGGTCCTTGGTTGTCGAGAACGGGCCATCAAGGGCAAGCTCACCGGAGTATAATGAAGTTTCAGAGGAATTCTGGTTGCTGGTGCTTTCCCGCTTCAACTTGGCCCTACGGTTGAAGATGGACTTGCCAAAGAGCTGCACGCTCTCTGGGCGGTCTCGGAGCTGCATGTTGCTCGAGGTTGATCGGCCAGACGAACGTCTCGATATGGTGATGGTTTCAAGGGTGTGCTCCCAAGACCGGTCCGAGTTGAGTGAGAGCAGTGAGGACGTCGAGCCAGAGGACGTGGTTGCGTGGCTCTTGTGCTTGTCCGCAGCCGAGGCCCTCCTCATCTGCTTGCTCAGGGAACGAATCCTTTCCGGCGATGGCGGTCCATCAAGAGCAGGCTCGAACAAATCAGTGACGTGATCAGGGTGGTGGTGTTGGGTTGAGAGAAGAGGAAGAGGAAGAGGGGCTTGTTGCTGTCTGGTGTTGATGGAGGACGGCGGCAAGTAATCTTTGTCGCCGGGGGCGGCCTTCTCGTGCCTCCGACTCGGTTTGTAGGCCGAGTAATACGGCAGTGGAGCCGTGGACCACATCTTGTTTCCGACTTAATGCAGAGGGCGACGTCAAGCCAGGCGTGCCCCCTCTCAAGGGATCCCCTTCTTCTCCAGCGTGTTATGGATGGGTCCGAGTGAGTTGAGGATTTTTTTTTTCCCGCAGTTGCTTTTTCTGTTTACCTTTTTTCCTAAAACTGGGTCGCCTTGGATCCGGACCTTCTGCGTTTGGGATCGAGGATCTGGGAGTTGGGCGTGCGAAAGAGTATGGATGAGGGAGAGAGAAGAAAGGATGCGAAGGTGTGTATGGTATGTGTAGGAAAGTCGGGTGCCGTGTGTGAGCAGCGTGCTGAGCAGAAAAGGTTGTTACGAGAGAGGGGGAGAGAGAGATAGAGAGAGACAGCGCATGGAAAAAGAACCCAGAAAATAGTAATAAGCATCAACCGTAGCGCCTATTTCGTTGTTTCTCTGTACGTTCAGAGAGAGCGACAGGTGACGAGGGATCAGCCGGACTGCGGAGGACGTGCCTGGGACTGGTAGGTAATATATCTAATATGGTGCCGTTGTCAATGCAATAATGGCGGGAGGGGGGGGAGGTCGTCGTCGGCATCCGAACATTGGGGATCCATCCTCTGCTTTCTCTGAACGGCAGCTAGATCCAAGCAAGACCAAAAGGAACAGAGAGACTGGGGGGGGAGGGTGCCACTTTGCCTGCCCTGTGCAATATGCTCAGAGTCTCGCAGAGCCTAGTCCCAAAAATGCGACGCCGCAACATATCACCTCGTTCGTCCCCTCTTCCAGGGTGTTTGTTCGACAGGGGTGGAGAGAAATGGAGAGGCATCTGGCTCTGGAGGGGGGAGGGGTGTGGTAGGTGGTCCTGGGATACCTGGTCGTAAGGATCGAGGGGGGGGCCTGTCGATTGATGTGGGTGCGGTAGGTAGGAGGAAGGAAGGGCAAGGTGCAACCGACTCTCGCACACATCCTTGAAGCGAGTAGGTAGCAGCATCTATCTGGTCTCCGTTGATTCCAAAGTAGCAAGTAGCAATTGTCAGCGGTGGAAGTGGTCGTAGTAGCACCGCCACCGACGACGACGACGACGACGACATCCTCCTCTTGATTCACTTGCTCTTCCGCTACCTCTATATAGCGCGAGCTCGGTCGGCAGCGACACTGCTTGCTTGGACTGTGCTGGTCTGGTCGTAGACGGCCCTTGCGGGATTCTAGCCGGGACCTTGCTCATCCTTCCTCCTCTTGGGACGCTGCAGCTTGCACCCTGCAGTTCGACCAGTCAACAACTTTTCCACAACGCTTCCGTGCCTAATGTTTCCCTGTCGCGTGCCAAGGACCAAGTGAGCTGAAAGAAGGGGGGAAGTGTGTGTAATAACAAGACCGTCGTATGCCACTCTTTGCGTTTCCCCGTCGCAGATGGTTGACGCGCTTTGACAGCCTCGGTATCGGCAGAGAGAAAATAGAAAATGGAAATAAAAATAAAAATGCCTGATGTGAGCCCAGCTTTGCCATCTTTTACTCTGGACATTGTGACTTGCAACGAACGTTCGAACGCATAGAGCCTGGACCGCAAGGCTCCGCCGCCATGGTTTGCTAATTTAATATCCCGTAGTCGCAGGGCTGGCCGCTTCTGCTACTATGCTCAAAGTGGAGTGCAATAACATGCCAGAAGTCTCATCAGGCCACAGCCAGTGGATGGTCCTGTCTGCTTCCCCAAAGCGGAAGAGCGGAGCAGGGACGACGCCAAATCACAAAGGGGAAATGAGATTGGAAGCGCTCGTCCATTTGCGTATTTCGAAGCCTGTGAAATTTGAACGTGTCCAATAACCCAGGTGCCGGCCAGCAGTGACCGTCATGCACTGGATACGAGGACGAAATGTGTACGCAGTATCCGTACCTTGGGTAGTCGTCGCTTTGACGGCCCCGGTTTGCCGTGTCGTTCAACGCTTGCCGCCAAGGCAAAAGAAAGAACCCTTCCATACATACATACATACCTAGCCCCTCGCCCTCATTTGATATGTCTGTCTGCCTGCTTGGTGCCTGATGCTAGCTAGAGTCTAGTACTAGGTAGAAGGGCAGCTTGACTCGAGTCCCAACTGACCTCGTTCCCCTGTCCAAGCCATCGTTATTCGACGGGACGGGTAGTCTCGAAAGTGCTGAAACGGCTGAGAGGGCTGGGCATTCGGTAGCTGCTGCTGGAATGCTGTGCTACCAATTTCTCCATCTCGTATAGGTAGGTATCTACTCCGTAAGATCGCAGCAAACGCCAAGAGCATGTTTGCACATGTCGTGTACGGAGTACTCGCACGAAATAGCTGCATGGACCTCGTCTGTCCGTCTTCTGTCAGAGCCGGCTTAATTGATTCATGGCCTCCAAAGACAGACAAACTTTGTGTGTAAAGTGCAGTTTCAAACCCTCCAAGTCGGTTGGTTGGTTGGTTGGTTGATTGGCATACAGTGTCAAATGCCCTGTCGTGACAGACAGATACGTATAAATTAAAATTTTGCAACAATATTGGACAGTTTCATCCGAACACTGGCCAAACAGCTTATCGACGACCCGCCAGAACATTGAGAATTAAGGTTCCTGAGTCGTTCGCTGCCGGTGCCCAGAGCTTCCGTCGATCATGTACTGTACTCCGTACATGTGGTGTCAGTGGCCTTTTCCATAATTTGTCACTTTGTCGTCTGAACTATTGAAATCCAAACATGGTCAGACAATTAGTAGTTACGGTCAACGGGTCCTCGCAGCACCTGTATTATGCGTTCCGCCTGGGATGGCCCCCAATGACACGCCGAGCACAACCGCCGACATGAGACGACGAAGCTGCTTGTGCTACTATCCGCAGTATTTGCCAAACCTATTGCAGCTTCCATCGGATCCAGCAAGCCAGTGGTTTGGCGCCCATTTTGCCTCACTTCTGTATCAGGAATCAGTTCCGGCCCATGCATATTGATGCGAAGAAGACGCGTGACGTATGCAGTGTCTTTTCCAGCCAAGCGCGTCTGCCATTTTTTAGTTGGCAAGAGATTTCCGCCTCCGCGGGCGATCGCGCTTTTGGCGGCCTTTTTTTCTTTCTTTTTTTTTCTTCTTCTTTGACGTGGCTAGTCCGCGGATACTTGTTTGTCTGATGCGTTTGGGGGGTTTCCAAACCGTGCTGGCTACCAGCGCCGGCGGCGCCAGATTCAAATTGTGACAGCTCATGATCAGCAACATCCAGAAGGTCATGGTCCCCGTCGGAAGGCTTTTCGCGGTACCAAAAATACACAAATACCTAATGAAAATGGCAGGTCCGCGTCCGTGCAGTGCGCACGCCCACACGATGGACAAGGAACTGCTCGATTCGCATGCGGGCTTTGCGAGTTGCCGGCCGTATGGTGTTCCTTCTCCATATGCCAAAGAGGCCGTCTTGGGGCCACATTGTGAGCGAGGTGCCGGACGACCAGCATCCTCCGTCATCCATCATCCACAAGCCATGCGGTTAATCCATCGGTTGCGATTTCCGGCACATGAAGAGTGCCGCTCGGCGTCTAACAAGCGAAGCGGTCAAGGTTGTGACGGGACCAGCCCCCCCCCTCTCATCCCCGGCCTCAAACCTCACATGCCATACAACACGGTACAAAATAGTGCTTCGCGTCCTTTTCTTCAATGCCAACTTTGGCCTGACCGTTAGGTTTGTGGTGATAGCGGGGTTCCTCTGAGACAGCCCATTTATTTGGCGGAGAATTTGAGACAATGGCCTTTGATGGCACGCGGTACGGTGGTGCAGTTGTGGGTGCGGACGGGCTTGTCTCGCGCCGCGTGCCAGACTCCCTCGTTCCCCGATGGTCGATACCCTAGCGCTAGATCCGCGATTGGCTGGGCATTGTAACGTGCAGAAGGGCAAACTGACCTAGGCAGCTAGGCTTGCCCACATCTCTTCTGCCCTGTCGATACTTTGTCGGTTGTTCGGTTCTGGAATTACCCGTGATACCCATGTTCGAGCTAGGCTGCCCAGACGCCTCGCCGACAGAACAAACCGCTCAGGACATACGCAGTACCTTGGAACCTGAATTTGGCAAGGCAAGGCGACGCCGACCTTTTCCAGGGGAGGGCTTGGAGCCGGCCGGGTCCACTGGGGCTTTGAAAGAATCAGCCACGTTTGCTCCACATGAGGGATCCAGAGCTGGTGCATGTCCGCCATGTCGTGTTGCTTTCCAGATATGACTGGCTCGCTCTCACTCTCTCCGTATTACATACGCGGTTTGTGCTCCGCGCGAGACCCATCAACTCCCGAATAGTAAGGTCAGCCCGTTTGTCGATGACTGCAGCTCGGGGAACGGGGAAAATGCAAAATGACGACAGCGGGGGTCTGGCTTAACTTGGAGCGTGTTGTGTTTACGTGAGAAAGATTGGCAAAGGACCGCTGCAGTTAGTGCTGATGCCGCTGTCGCTAGAAACATCCCAGCACAAAGGTTCGGGCCCGTTGAGCATATTCGCTGTATCCGTAGCTTCGCGAAATCCTGATCGAGTACTCCAGAAAATGTCAGTAAGAGCAGGCTCTTCCCGAGCCCGCAACCCGCGCGCGCTGTCGAGCTGTCAGGGACACACGGCCTTTGAACCGACCCTCTTGTCTGTCTCCAAGTTGCCCGCTTTTAACGTGGTGCTTGTATTAACCCTATTGCGGGCACCGTATGTTGGCAAAGCTCGTCTGGAATCTCATTGGGCATTGGCTGCCAGCAAAGGGCTCGAGAGTGCGTCTTTTTTTCCCCTTGGTTTTTTTTTTATCCATGTTTCTTTTTTCGGCTTTGCTTTTCTTTCGCTACCAGCTAGGTCGCGGGCAAGCTTGCTAGGCGTTGGCTCAAGGCGGACCTGAGTTGCGTGCCTGCATGGACCTAACGCACAGACGGCGAGGGTGTCGTTTTCTCTTGTCCGTTACCACTGTCCCACAGAGGCGGGACGACAGCCTATTCGCCAGAACCTTGTGACGGGTATGGAGACGCAAGGAGGGCCCGGACAGACGAGCAGAGCGGCGGTGGGGGTGGCGGGTGGTGTACGTAGTCTCTGGATCAAGATACCGGTAATCTCAGTTGATGGGCCTGATGGCTGCAAGGTACGCAAGATCTGAGCACTCCAATTGTAGCGACTGCGTAATTCATCCATACATAGTACGACAACTCCAGACAGTGCGCCCCTCACGTTGCGCAGTGAGAAGGGTACGCAGGATGAACACTAGGGTAGTGAAGGGTACGATATAAGGCATACCGGGCATACCGGATCACGCCTGGGCGGGTACGAGACGCGTTCTCGACGCTCCCGTCAAAGGAACGAGAGGAACGATGGATGGACGGGGGGGCGCAGCGCGGTGCGATAAAGCAACAGCAAGAGCGGGATGCCAAGCGAAGCCGAGGCCGTCTGCAAGGGCAGTGGATAAGATGCGGGATAGATGTATGGTGGATATCCGTACAAGATGCCTTTGCTGACATCGATGGAAGAAGGTCTTTTCGACTGGATGTTGCTTCTCTGGTCTCCCAGTTGCCGATGGTGTTGTGTTGTCTGATCCGGACGCTCGGTTCACACTGACTGCATTGTCTGGAAAGCAACGGGAGTGGACGGGTGGACGGGTAGAAAACCCAGGGTTCTGGGTATGTACGCGTGCATACCACCAACCCTTGAAGTCTGGAGATGCTGCCGAAAAATAAGAAATAAATAACAATAACTGATAACAACTAGTTATTATAAATATAATTATAATTATAGTCACATTGTACGTACCGGTACAGGCATGTGCGTTGTTAGAAGGATCACAGATACGGCGAACTGGGATTTGGAATTGGCGCCGGCCGATTCAGCACGCTTTGCCATGGATTGATATTGCGGTTATAATGGTCTGATTGAGCAATTGATTGGCATTGCACTTGCCCGACAGAGTGTGGTGACGGACGGATAAGGCGGAACTTTAGAAGAACTACCATAGGCGTGAGATGAGAGATGAGCTTTTCCAGATTGTCGGATGACAACTCACGGTAAGCGTGTCAAGCCTCGTCTTTGAAGGGCTTGGCTGTCTGGTTTGGTGACAGGCAGGACCTGGAGCGATTCGGTGCAAAGGGGATGGGGTCGTAGTCTGGATGAGGCAAGGCTTGCGGGAGAAGGAAGATGAACTGTTTGTTATTTGTCTCGGAGAAATGCTATAGCTTGTTGTTGACGCACAACACGTTCAATCAGATCTGCATTCGTGGATCTGATTCTGGCTCGGGGCAAGGCTCTTTCTGGTTTGAGTCTGGACGGGCTGGTGGTGCGTTCCTGGAAGGATGAACGGACAAGACGGAGAATCGACGGGGGGGGGGGGGGGGGGGGTAAGAAGGCCAAGCTTGGCACAGGACGGAGGGAGAGAGGGAGAGAGAAGCTCGGCAGAGAGCAAGGAAGGCAGGCCTGCGTGCATTAGGTGCAGATGCAGCTTACCTATTGCACTGCACATCTTTGCCTGTCTCTACCTTGTCCGCCTGGCCGGACCCTTACCTTGCCTTGCGTTGCCTTGTCCGGTGGACAGGAGTTCCAGCAACAACCGCCTGCCTACCTATTCGTATCTACTACCCAAGGTGTTAAGGTGGGAATGAGTGCTACCTGGTACTGTAAGCATTGCTACTGCCGCCATCTGCACCCTCCATGCCCGTGGAAACTGTAACCCGTGTCTGCTTGCCGTTCTATCTACCCATCCACCTACCTGGGTAGGTAGATGCCGAGGTACCTATGTATACATGCCTACCAGTACACAGTAGGTAAGCAGGCAGTATCGACGGTCTTTCCGCCATTGAGGACCAAAGCCCCCACCCCGAGTTCGTCGTGGCGCACTATTGTCCACTTCCTCACCTGCGGCTAGTCCAGCTACAGTGTGTCCCTGTGCGCAAACGCCTACCTACAGTACGTCTGTGAAGGCACTACACTACTCGCTCACAGTGGGGGCGTTGGACGGACCAGGGTCCTGTCAATCCACAGCACCCACCGATACGGAGTAGGAAATGCAAAGGGGACCAGAACCATTCGCCTCCATCTCCAACTACGGGTATGCGATATCACACTTTTTCAACAAGCCATGCACATACATATGTGGATTACTGTACCTACCTACTTCGCGAGTAGAGACAAAGACGGCACGGGCATCGGTCAACCCGCCACAGATACTGATGCTGAGGATCAAGGTGGAGAGCAATCCGTGAAACAACTGGGTCTGATAATTCTAGGCCCCTTTCTTCTCCTCCTCGTCCTCCTTCTCTTCTTCTTCTTTGGGAGGCTCAGGAAGGTGCGGCCAGGTGTTTGCGCCCCTTTTTAGTGGCTTGGGGGCCATGGTCCGACGCAGAGGGAAACACCCCAGAATAAACGCAACGACATCGCACACGGACCTATACTGTACCTATGTGCCGGTAGCAATGCTCTTGTTTTGACTTTTGGTGTCGACAGAGTTCCCCCGCCTCTGGAACGAGCCCGCCAACCCCGTGTCTGTCTGTGCCACCCTTTGCCTTGTGCTATAATAGTGGCAGCTTCGATATAACCATATATCTGTACCACGGTAGACCACCATTGCTGTTCTTGTCGACACCTCCGATTGGAGGGTTGATGGCGAGGAAGGGTGGGCGCGTGCTATGGGAGTCAATGCACTGTGGGCAGGCGGTTCCAAGAAACGGAACACCGACGCACTAGATACGTACCTACCTACCTACTTTGGCTTAGGGAAGGTCCTGGTCGGTTACAACGGTCAAGTCAAGGATTTCTGCAGGAGACGCCGTTCTCTCCCGCCCCTCCAGTACCAGCTACCGGTAGTACCGTACCTACCTACTTAGTACTCACGTAGTTGGTACTACCAGTATCGCTATGCAGATACCTTGCAATAGTTAGCCTGGCTGCAATAAATAAAGTATCTCTGTACTTTGCTTGCCCTTTTGCTGCATTGTCTGCCACCTGCCAAAACCAGGACCCAAGGTACCGGCCTACCTACACGTACCAAACCCCAGATACCTTCTGACTTTGACAAAACCACCTACCCTACTGTAAAGCCGAGATGGCTCACCATCCGTCTTGCTTGTCCTGCCCATTCTGTCTGTCGTTCGGCTGCTGAGTCGAGTCCACACTCCATCTGCTTCATTTACGTTTCTTATGCCAGCAGCCCTACGCGGGGTATACCTGAGCCAGCAGGCCTTGGGATCGCCCCGCCGGTGTGAATCACTGCGAGGCGGTACCCGAAAAAGAAAAGAAGAGAGAAAGATGATGACACCCTCCCGTAAGCGACCGACGGCTTGGAAATACGAAATACCTAGACTGTCTGTCTGGTTCGACCTCAAGCGAAGCACGGCATGACATGCCCCTCACAGGCTAAAACCAATGGGATTCCGGCTGTCTGTAACCGACATGAGCACCTCGCTTTGCCAACCTGGTCCTCTTCGTCTTTGGAGCTGTTTCTGTTGGTCCGCCCCAACATGGAAGATGGCTTGCGGCATGGCGCTCGGCAGGATGCAACGACATCATTTCCAGAACGTCAGCCCTCTTTTGCGCTTTGCCTCGTTGGCCCCCATCTTCTTCGACGACGTGCAGGCGTCAATAATAGCCGAATCCGACACTGTCGCTTACAAGACATCGTCGAATGGCATGTCGTCAGTCGTTAGTGGCCCGTCCGCTGGACCGATACTCAATGCAATGGCGGATACGGTTCCAGCGACCCCTCCTGGCAGAATGCATCGTGCCAACCCATGACGAACCGGAAGCACCTGGACAAGGAACGCTCTGAACAGGCAGACCCATCAGGAGAATATGAGCCCTTTGAATGGGGCTCTCTTGAGAGATCGTGGGGTTCAGGCATTCAGAAACCCCTTCACCCGAAACGAGCAAGTCCAATATCATGCGCGATATGCCAGCAGGTCGAGCAAAAATTTGCAATAAACCCTACTATTTGACATTTCTCCGTGTGGAGAAGGATAAAATTCTGGGGAACAAATGCCTGCAACATTATCTTCGCAAAGCATTGCAACCTTCCAAGAGACCGATCGTTGTCGGGGCCGGCCATCACTTCTCACGACGCGTCTGTAACCCAGAGACGGAAAAGAGAGGGGAAAATAAGGGCGCAGTAGGAAAGTGATACTGGTTCTCGTCCGACCCGAGGGCCGAGGCACCAATCTGCTGCATCCTCGATTAACTCAACTCCAGCACGAGTGGACAGAAGGATCGCTGAGGATGCTACGCACGCGGCATAACCATGGTTCATCGGGGCCTGTCTGTCTTTCTCTCCCCGGGAGCTGGTAATCGAATGTCCATGGTGTGTGTGTGGTGTTGGCCTTGACAGAATTTCGGCTGGGGGGGCGGCGTTGTTGTGGGTGCGTCCCCGCCTCCGTTGGAGGAAGCGTCGAACTTTCTGTGCAAGACCCTGCACCGTGCCACCGCAAGGTATTTCGGGGAACTTGCATAGGCTAACGACAGACTCGTCAGTCGGTGTGACGGTTCAACTGCTAGCTGCGTGCAACCAATACACTGAACACATGGTATCCTCACCAAAACAAAGACCCTGCAAGGTCCCGCAAAATTCGCATGGAAGCCCTGAAGATGGACAGATGACCCGTTCTCGCGACCTGTTGTTCCCCGTGGGCGGGCAGGCTGCTGATGGTCACCTCCTTTCGTGTAGAGAGATGATCTTCGGCAACACAACGCTCAGTTCCAGGAACGGTCTGTTGGATCTCCAACTCCAGGGAACAAAACATGCCGCCAACATATGGGCCCAGTGCCACACTTGTTCTCACTCTTCGACCTGGGGGAAGTGAGAGGATACTGGGGGACATCATTTTTGGGGGGGTAGAAAACTCGGAATCTCGATTATCCTTGTTTTTCCCGTCCCGTCAACCCCCAGTTCCCCCAGCACAGTTTTGATCTCACGCCATCGCTGAGACATTACACAACCGTGACAAACCTATTTCTCACCGTCGCGTAGAGTACATCCATGGCCATTATTGCTGCATCTTGGTGCGGGCGGGACACCGATCGAAGGTTTCAATTGCAATATTGTCGTTGCATCCCGAGCAAGGAGGATCCCGTTGGCCTGAGCGCTATCGGCGCCGGCTCCTTCACGAACCGTACCGCCTACAGTCCCGCTTGTCCCTGCCTGACCACCTCCACCTCGTCGTCCCTCTTTGGAGGAGTCGACTCGACAGACCCGGTTTACACTGCCATTGAAGTGGGAGCCAGGTCGGTCACTAAACTAGATAGGGACCGTTGTTTCATCTGCTCTGCCTCGTTGAGTGCTGTGGGCCTTCGACGTTCCCTCTCTGGAAACAGGCGGACAGTCGACGTGGTATCGTGGTTCCATCGTCAAACGATGTCCCCCTGTCGGCCTACGCGTTGCTTGCGCTAGAGTTCTATCGGTGCTCCTTGGAGATACAGCAGCTGCTATAACGCCCTCTTCACTATTATAACGCCCTTCCTATTACCTTTGTGTATTCCGTCGCCCGCCTCTTAGACACTCTTTCTGCCTCGCGCTGGGGTTTCATCACTCACCCACATGCCCAGTTACCACTAACCCACCGAGTCGTTGGGTGCAGCTGATGGGTACGTCGTGGGCGCAGCGTGTGAACGATACAACAATGCACCGAACCATCGCCCCGCTCTGGTTCATTATAAAAGAGGAGACAGACAGAGAAACAGAGACGAGCCTGTTGCCGTTCGATACGAGACGGGTATACTTCGGACCCTTGATGGTCGATCTTGGGGGACGACGGTTCATGGCTCTGGATACGTCGCCGTCCCAGCGGTTTTCCTTGGATGAACCAGGCACAACCCAGATGCGCCACCCCGCCTCCCTCGACGCTCGGATGTGAGTGATCCGCGCAAACAAGTTGGAGCACAGCAGAAAACGACGTCTTACCTGTTGCGCTCAAACTCGGGTTCGTCCATCCCCGCCAAGGACACAGCAACAACAAAACCAGTAGGTAGATAGATAATGATGATGATGATGATAACAATAATAATAATAATAATAATCGTGTTTTGCTTTGGCACCGTGTCAGTCAACCGACAATGCTAGGCCAGAAGCACAGGTGGCACCAGAGCCAAAACACTAGTGGGAACCGGCTCTGGCAGTCGCCGTCTCTCCGGCCATCCTGACTCCCACGATTACGTTGTCGTCTTCACGATTGGGAATCCAGCACACTAGGAAAGGAGGCTGGCCGGTCCCGGCCGGGACCACTACGGGCGCCGTCAAACGGCCTTCTTCGTGACTTTCCCTGGAGCGTTAGTCACCCCCCCGTAACAAGTTCGACGTTGGGCCGCTAGCTGTGCGCACGGCGATCGCTGTCCGAACTCCGACGAGCTGCAGAAGCGACCACTCATGGCATCTGACATCCTCCAACATTTCAGGCCACCAAGCTATCTGGATCCGCTCCTCCGCACACGCCACGCCCACGACATACCGATTTTCTTCTTGACAGGTCGGACGGCCCGACCCCTGGCTGGCCGTGCGCATTCGGCCCATTGGTGCTGGCGAACTACATGTTCAGAGACATACAGATGTGTCAACCCGTATGTATATACGAACACGGTCGCACAGACGGAATGGCGACGTCTCTACGTAGCAGAAGGTGGGCGAAGGAAACACGCCGGGAACTGGTCCAATCTCCGTGCTAATGTTTCCGCAACTGCCGGCATTCGCTTACTGAAATTGAGGGCGAGCCCATCAGCCCGTCGGAGAGCACGATGTGAACGGAAGAGCGACCCTCCAACGAAGACCCCATGTAAAAGATCGACATCTGGCCAAATTGGACTGATGGTCGGGCCCCAAATTCGGAGGATATTTATTGGCTTGGTGCGGCAGAACTCGGATAGCGCTTCTAGCGGCCAGCCACCGTTGGAAAGGAATCCGTCACCGTAAATCATGTCTTTCTTGTCCCGCGGAAACGTTGGGGCGTGAGGGTGTCCTGATGGTGTATCCAACCGCCGGACGCGCCTTTGCCGCTTTGTGAGAGGCTGCTAGGCTGCTGACCGACTCTCGTCGAAGCTCCATACCTCATTCGTTCCATTTCGCGTTCCCGTCACGCCATTAGAGCGGCACGAGTTGTGCGTCGCCGGCCTCGTGGGCTAGGAAAAGGGAGCTTTCTCCTGGATGGGAAGCGAAGCGAAGGAGCGCCACTTCCGAACGGAATGGTATCCGGTCAGGTCTTAAGGTTTCACTAGCCACCTAGCTTGGAGGCCTTGCACCTAACGGTCGTCCGCCTCGTTAGCCTGCAGATGAACGAGCTGGTGTCTCAGTCAACGAAGACCGGGGGTCGTGGAACAAATCCCTAATGGGCCGTTGGGGCTCACCTGGGTATCGGCCACCCCGCCCAGCAGGGCCGGTGATCTCGGACGCCAGGAATCGGAAGACCCTTATCACGCGTCGTGTCGTGTCGCTCGCGGCGCATAGATGCCAAACAAGGGAAAGGATCCGTCTTTGTCTCTCCGTGCACCCGGCGTAATACTGCATCGAGATTTGCTGGGCTTCGTCGGGTAAGCCGTGGCTTCACGTACCGGGGGGGAGGGGGGGCGTTTGGAAAGCATTCTCCTACAAGATATGCTTAGTTAGTCAAGGATATGAACGCGCTACCAGCTTGCTGGTGTCATGGCCCATTGCTGAGTCTGGCACAGGCATCGTTTGCTCCGCGTAGGGCCGTTTTGGAAAGCAGGAAGGGGAACGGGACGCTAAGAGATGTCGATCGACGTCGATCCGTTCGTCCTCGGCCTCGATCCCACCACTCCGTGTGTACAGAGTCGGGTGTCTCGATCTTTGTCAGACCAAGAACGGTGACCACGTTCAGCATCGAAGCCGCGGGTGACGGGTTTCGTCCGACCGGAAAGTTTGGTGCTGGTTCTTCCAAGCGGGATCGGTCCGGGGAGGCGTGGCGGCCTTCGAGAACGGCACGAACTAAGGCAACTAACTAGGACATGGTTCGGTTGCAAGACTCGGCTGTTAGTTCGAGTTCTGATGCCAGATTAGTAAACACAGGCCTGCTGGCCTTCGAACGTGGGTTGGGAGGGTTCTGAGGAAAGTATTGCTTGCTAGCGGATACGCGACTCAACAATATCCCCAAAAGCCCCGGCAGCCAAGACCTAGACCGAAGATAAGGATCATGTTTCCCAGGGCGAGGAAAACAAAATCTTCTCTGCAGATCAGATACGTCGTGCTGTAGAAGGTTCTACACGGACGCGGGGTTGTGCCGGGGAGACCCGAAAGCGAGAAGACGAGCAAATGTCAGGAAACGGACGTACCCTATTCCCGGCTTTGACTGTTTTGGTATTCTCAATTTGCCCGGTAATCTTACTCTGTACACTGATGCTGGCGTTTTGTTTCGTACTGTCGACCCTTGATTCCATCGCATGCCAATAACGCCAGGGGGGAAAAAACCAAGAAAGAGAAGGAGGGAGAAAGTCAGGAAGTCGCTATTTCATTTCCAAAACCAACTGCTCTTGTCATTTCCATCCCCGTTAGCATCTCGCTGCTGCTGATCCCTGTTCTTGCCATTGCCCGTCGACAAAGTCGCCGACCAAGTGTACTCGGAACGCCTCTCAGTTTGCCTGCCGACCTCCTCGCCCCTATCGTTGAACGTCGTGACCGTCTTGGTGACGTGAACGTTGCCCTTCGCGTCCTCTTGTTCCTGAACCTTTTCCACCATTCTCCAGCCAGCGGGGAGGCCTCGTGGTGAGAGGTCTCGCGTGGTTGAGTTTAACTTGGGTGACTCGGATGTGGGTGTGGATGTTGACGTCTCGCGAGATGTGTTAAGACGGGCCTTGCCCATGACTGAGAAGTAAGAATCCTCCTCCGTCTCGCCATGGTCGTCTTGCTCTGGACGAGCTCGCAACTCCCGTGCCGCTTTCTCAAACACTGGCGCCATCTCGGGCTCCTTGGGCGATGGCTGGTTCGGGGCGGGCAGCGATCTCCCTTCATGGAAGGGGTCATCCTGCTCTTGCAACCACCGCCGCCACCGCTCACTCACGGCCCCGTCCAGCACCTCGGGTCTCGTGAGCCAGCCATCCCACAGGCCCTGACGAGTGAGTTGGTGAAGCCAGAGGATCGGTGGCAACCCTCGGGGGAAGGAGTCGCGGCACTCCTTCCGGAAGCGGACCCGTTCGTTGATGTCCGGCAAGCCTTGGCCGCTGCTGACCATGAGCAGGTCCTCGAACGCGTCCTCGAAACCAAACAGAGTCGGGTCAGCGCCCTCGGGGAGGTCCTTAGGGGTGGGCTGCGGCAGGTCATGGAGCCGCAACGGCGAGTATGGCGAGTCGATGAGAAACGAAATCCACAAGACCTGGTACAGGGACTCTGTGAGCTTGTCGGCCTCGAAAAGCGCCTGCATTGGCGACATTGACGAGAAGAGGTCGAACACGCTCCGGTGGGGGTACTGTGAGAGCGACTCATGGGGTTGGACGGCATCTGTGGCGCCGCTGCCATCTGATGCTGTTGTGATTCTGCGCCCATTCTTGTCGATCTGGGACGGTCGGGGAGGCTCGGGCCAGCTGCTGTTGAGGCGGCACACTGCGGTGGGAATGCCCAGGACTCTCTGGAAAGCCGAGGCGACATGATCGTCAACCTTTTGCTTGAACCGGACAAAGAAGTTGTCCGAGGAATCGTTGTCGGGCATGATGGACGAAATATCTGGTAAGGTGGCAAGCCAAGTGGTTGGTTTCAAGATGTGAGCTGTTTGTGATTTGCGAGTACCTCAGTTGATGAGGTACGCGAGTTTGGATGTTGTTGCAGGCAATTCGCGGATTGTCTCCGGATGCGTCAACGGAGGCTCGAGGCCTACATGAACAGTGGGATAAATGCCTGAACGACGAGACGGGCGAAGATGGAATCTCACGAGAATGACGACGTTGATCGGATCAGACCAGCTCACCGGTAGTGGCGATCGGGGAGATGGAGTGAGGTGGGTAGTTGTGTGAGAAGGAGAGAGAAATCGGAGCCTCTAGAACCTCCGACAATTCCCCAATGAGCTGGGATTGGGGGTGGAGGGAGTTTCGGTGACGGCGGCGGCGGCGGGTTCTGGAGACCAGAATATCCCAGAATATTATCGACCTACGTATCGTACAGGTACATCCAGTGTGGCGTTCAAGCCACAGTCCGCACCCCGCTTTCAGCACGTGTTGGTCCACGTTCCAATCGTTCAATCGGGGTCTCGGGCGTCAGCCTCACACAGTTGGCCGTCCCGGTCGGGTCGCTCACTCACACAATCCACAATCCACTCACTGGATGGTGATGCGTTCCTGGAAGATCCGCCCGTAGCGACCGACCCTGGGCTAGGTCTGCGAATTGGTTTATGGAGTACTAATTACCTCCATTGGGGCCAAACACGGACGCTAAACCAGTGTGGCTGGCAGGTGAACTGAGAAAGACTAAGCCTTCAGAGACAGATAGCGTTCCTCGCAAACATGAGGCAGGCACATGCCAACCCAGTGCTCGGGACACAGCGCGCCACGGAAATGACAGCATTTTGCAGCAGAGTTCAAGTTTGGAAAACCCCACACTGGTGCTGAGCCACACTTTGGGAGCATCATCGGAGACCCACCTTTACGTCCGCTCAGGGACTTTCTTTGAGGGGCGGGCCCCCTTTCCTCTTTGACTGGGGGATTTTTACCTCGAATGTGGGAACGTGCCTCATGCCCAGACTCGCGCGTCAGCATCCGACCGATGCGAGTCGTAGAAGAGAGGAGAACCACCACCACCACCACCACCACCACAAGGAACAGGAAGAGAGCATGGAGTAGCGTCAGCCTACCTAGTTCCATCGCAGCACTTGGTCAACGCCGCCAACCACTAGACCTAGCAACTGCACTAAAATCTTGAATGCTCCAATCACTACTACCTACCTACTTATCTATCTAGGTACCTACCCTACATCTTTGTACCACTCAACACTAAGCCTTCCCCCGAACTACCAATTCCCATTTCTCAACCGCAGATACTCATGGCTGGCTACGACGATTTGCATTCTGTATCGTAGGTCCGCCAATCCTTTCTGCCAGTATCCCGGTGCCTTTTCGTTGCCGCATCCTCGCGCCGTCCAGATGATACCGCATCCCACTCGAGTCCACCCATCCACTGCGCCTGGGTGCCCGGCGACCGAATTCGCGTCGTCGTCATCGCCAACCTCGCCCAACTAGCACCGTTTGCTTGTGCTGCTCCCGAAAAAAAGAAACGAAAAAGAAAGAAATTTATCAAAAATAAACTCGTGACATACACGACCCGCGGCTCGATATCTACACTCCCCGCCCTTCTCTTTTCCGGCGTCACAACACTAGCGCCCGCCGGTCATGACAATAGCCCCCGTGCTCGTCGCTGCTGAGCCTGCGGCACGCCCGGACGACGATAAAGACCTGCAGAACTGGTCCTCGCTCATAGGCATCATCACCGCAATCGTTGGCAATGTCCTCATCGCCCTCGCCCTCAATGTCCAGCGTTACGCCCACCTTCGACTCCACCGAGAGCGCATCCGCGTCCGGCGGCGAGCGAGAGAGGCCCTGAAACATGCGCCGGGCGGAGTCCAGACAGGGCCGTACGGTACTGTTGGCGGTGGAGAAGCAGGAGACACGGATGCGCGCCGCGACGGTGTCAACCACCACGCGGGTGACGATGGCGACGACTCCGCGCCTTTGACGAGATCCTTCCGCTCCGAGGAGTCAGCTGGTTCCGACTACTCTGGCGACGACGACAAAACCCCCTCCACGTACCTCAAGTCGCCCTACTGGTGGGCTGGCCAAATCCTCATTACCCTTGGCGAGCTGGGCAACTTTTTGGCCTATGGTTTCGCGCCCGCCTCCATCGTCTCCCCTTTGGGAGTCGTCGCGCTGATATCCAACTGTGTCATCGCGCCGATCTTATTCAAGGAGAAGTTCAGGCAACGCGACTTCTGGGGTGTCATCATCGCTGTGGCCGGAGTTGTTGTCGTCGTTCTGAGCGCCAAGCAGGAGGAGACGAAACTCGACCCCGGCGCTGTGTGGGACGCGATCACGACGTTGGCCTTCGAGATATACCTTGCAGTGACGATATCCTTGATTGTTGTCCTCATGTGGGCGAGCCCAAGATACGGCCATCGGACCATTTTGATTGACCTTGGTCTTGTCGGACTCTTTGGTATGTACCGTACTCGACGACGATGAGAACTGCCGGCTGACGTTTTTTCTAGGTGGCTTCACAGCTCTGTCCACCAAGGGTGTGTCCTCAATCCTGTCGACCACCCTCCTGGGCGCATTCAAAACCCCGGTTGCTTGGGCGCTACTCTTCATACTTCTCTTTACCGCGGTCATGCAGGTGCGCTACGTCAACAAGGCGCTGCAGAGGTTCAGCTCGACGCAGGTCATTCCCATTCAGTTTGTTCTGTTCACGCTCTGCGTCATCGTTGGTAGTGCCGTTCTGTATCGTGACTTCGAGAGGACATCCGCCGAACAGGCAGGCAAGTTTATTGGGGGTTGCCTGCTCACTTTTTTTGGTGTCTTTCTCATTACCAACGGTCGTGTCGAGGAAGATGTCGAGGATGGCATGTCCGACACTGATGGCGTCGAGGAGACGATCGGCTTGGCCGAGCAAGACGGTTATAGCCCCACGCAGCCACTGGCGCCTTCATCCATCTCAGTCCCATCCTCGAGATCACGCCGCTCCTCTCGGGCTTCCAACGGAGGGCACCTAAACAATGGGTCGAAACAGTTCAGTATGCAACACGACTCGGGAATCCCCACACTTCGCGTTCCCGCAGCTGCGTCGACTGGCAATATTCCTAGCTCAGAGGCGGAACCACTGCTGGCCAACCCTTGGAGCAACTCCGCAGATGATATTACCCCCCGCCTGGAACAAGGACGATATCTGACGACTCTATTCATACGTTCCCTGGCTTCGGCTCCCCGCCGTCGGAGCCAGCAACGCCATACTATGACGGCCAACTGCAGCCCAAGTATCCCACAGATACAAGACCGGTCACACCGCGCACATCGTTGCCGAACAGACCTCACAGCCACCAATATCCAGGCCCTATCTTCTCTCCATCCCCACTCTCGTCCACTGTGAGCGCCGTGGTCAAGGACACACTTCTTAGGAGCGCAGAAAGTCCGCTGCTGCGCAGGCCTTCGGTGCGGAGGTTGCGCTCGAGCATCAGGGCCAGTCTCTTCATGTCCGAGAACAGCGAGGGCCCGGACGGCGATGCCGAGAGACAGGACCTAATGGGTGGAGGGATTGACTACGGAGACGGAGGCGTTGCCGAGCGTAGTCGGACAGCGGGCGAAGGTGCTTCCAGAGGGCCCCAGACGGGAAGACCCCGAAGCCTGAGCGACACGCTAGGAGGGTTATTTAGGTCGAAGAGGAACAGGAGGGATGCCAACACCGACCCCGGGGAGAACTTATAAAAGAAGAGGTGGATACATGTTTATTTATTTATTGCACAACCGAGGGACCTTCTGGTTGAGGGGCTTCGGGGGGGCATCGTTATCTTTCCCCAGCGTTGCATATTGGATCGGCGTTTCTGGTAGAAGGAGACTTTGAGATTGGGTGCTGTTGGAATTTCATCCGCAATACAAATACGAGTGTCCATCCTTTTGAGGGCGCGCCCGAGATATGGTACTGGAACACGTTTTTTTATTGCTCTTCTCCTTTTGTACACTGTTGGTTTGCTGCACCTCATACACGCTTGATTGGGCTATGACATTGAATGCAACAAGGATTTGCGTCAACGTGACCTCACGACGGGTCTTGGGAATCCTTAGGTGCACTCGTTGACGACTATTCTTGGCTAATCGGAAAAGGGACTTCCTCCAAGGGAGCACGGAAAAAGGAAAATGGATGTTGACAGAACATGTTATGATTATCGAACGAAACTTGAATGCTTTTAAATAGCCTCGATGATGCAGAGAGCCCATAGTTACATCCCTCGCACACACCATGTTTCTTCCCGCCTGGCCTAACCCCGGGAAGAGGCCTTCTTCTTTCTCATCAGACGCTTCCTTGCTATCAGCAAAGGCTTCACGTCTTCGCGATCGACCTTGCCCTTGGGCTTCTTACTATCGGCCTTGTCCGCTTTCTCGGACTTTGACTCCGGCTCCTCCTTGTTACCCTTGTTCAAGTTGCCCTTCTTTCCCTTCTTCCTATCCTTTCTGTCTTTCAAGGAGGCCATCTTGGGCAGTTCCTTACCATTGGCACCGCCCTTCTTGGTGTTCTGGCCGTCCTTAGCGTTCTGGGCATTCTGCCTGTTGCGATCGAGGTTCTTCTCGTTGGCCTTGCGACGGGCCACGACCGAGGCGTTCTCGATAGCGAACTCGACAATGAGACGCTGCTTCTTGCCAAGTTCATTCTCCAGCTGATAGCCGTTGAGGAAGCGCAGGCCCATGAGCGCCCACCGATGGGACGAGTACTCGATGAAACCGTATCCGCGGGACTTGCCGCCGCTCGCCTCGGGGACCTTGGTGCCCTCGCGACTCTCGTACTCGATCTTGGCCTGACGGACGATACCCTTGCGCTTCAGCTTGCGCTCGCGCTCGGCGTCTTTGGCCTCCTTTGCGTCTCTAACCTTCTCCTCCTTGGAAAGGGGCTGACGCTTACCCTCCTTGACATCCTTGGCGAACTCGACGCAGGCCTTCCGGGCTAGTTCCTTGAGCTCCTTGGAGCCGATATTGCGCGGTATGTTACGGATGGCCAGACGGGTCAGACTGATGTGCAACGTAGGGTTGCTCTGGACGAGCTTCTTGCGCTGCTTGGCACTATCTTCCCTCATCTTAATCTCGTTGGGGGTGAGCTTGTGATACAGGGCAGACCTGGTGTCGATCTGGCCTTCGTTGAGCAGGAAGAGACGTCGCTTGTCCTTCTCCCGTCTCTTGGCACTGCCATCGGCGGCCAGGCGTTCAGCGTCGTCCTTGCTAACGGCCTGGGCGACTTGCAGAAGCCTACCGTCTAGAGTATATCGACCATCCTTGTCAGCGGCCTCGTCTTGCAGCACGGAGTGCTTGGTCGGGAGGGCGCTGGGCTGTGGGCGGGGCGCGCCCTTGATACAGGCTTTCGCATCCTCCTCGTTAACGAAGCAGACGAATCCAGTGCCTGCGGGACGTTCAGTCGCCCGGTCCATGACAACACGGGCATACCTGACGGGGCCGAACTTGACGAAATGCTCCTTCAGTTGATCGTCTGTAACGGTAAAAGGAAGGTTTCTGATGAAGAGTGTCGATTTGTTATCGGTTGATGTTTGCGTCTTCATGACGGGTTTTTTGTCGTCCCGAGCGCTGCTGGTGGTTCCCTCCTCATCGTCTTCGGACAGGTCCAGATCCTCGTCCTCGTCCTCGTCCTCACTTTCGTCCTTGTCGCTATCCTCCTCGTCCTCGAGATTCATCATGTGGTTCTTCATAAAGTTTTCCAAGTCGGCGTCAGCGCCCTCAGGTTCCTCGCCAGCCTTGTCGTCTTTGGCAGCCTCGGCCTCTTCCTTTGCGTTAGCCTTCTTCTGCTTCTTGCTCTTCGGCTTCTCGTCATCCTCCGGGTCTTCTTTGGTACCGTTCACCTGGTCCCATTCGCTCTTGTCCACGGCCCAATCAACCGCAATAGGTCTTCCGTCAATGACCTTTCCGTTCATCTCCAGGGCCTTCTCAGCATTCTTCCGTCCTCGCAGGGTCACAAACCCGAAACCCTTAAGCTTGCCCTTGTTTTGGGGCAGGTCGGCGAATTTGACGACTCCATAAGCTCTGAAAAGAGCACCCAGCTGCTCGGATGACTTGATAGACCAGGGCAAGTTGCGAATAATCAACTTGGGGGGTTTCCTGGCCTCCTTAAGTTCTTGCGCGCGCTTCTGCTTCTGACCAGCAGCAGCCGCTCCGACGGCGCTTTCCTTGCCGTCGCGGTGTCTGGCTTCGGCAACATCGACTCTGATGCGGCGACCCTCCCAAATCATGTTGTTGAGCTTCTTCTTGGCTTCCATAGCATCTTCGGCGTCCGTCAGGGTGACGAAGCCATAGCCGCGGGAAGCCTTGGTGGCCTTGTCGAGAACGACAGTCGCATGCTTGACTGGGAAATGCTCGGAGAAGAAGTCGGTCAAGGATTCGCTGGTGGCGGTCGCAGGAAGGGAGCGAACGAAGAGAGAGCGATTGGCCTCGGTGCGGGCTTTCTTTGTCTTTGGTTCCGCTGCAGAGTCTGCTGCAAGGTTCTCGGCGACGGCGGCTGCGACGAGGGCATCGTGCTCGTCCTCCTCGGCTCGTGACCGCTTGAGCGGCTTACCAGGAGATGACATTTCTGATTGATTTAGCTGTATTGTTTTAAAGCCAGCTTGATTGAGGAGGAATGAACAAAGGTTACCTTGACTGCCAAAAGAGGTTGTGGAGAGAGTTCACTCTTTCTGCATGGGAAAATGGTTGGTGGTGATCGTAGCTGCGAATTGCACGATAAGGATTTTTTTCCTGGGCTTATCAGCACGTGCACGGGACTTGGAATCGCGAGTGGAGAAAGCCCAGAGGCGACCCCGCGCTATACCATTTCTGGAAGTCTATTGACTTGCCTGTTGCAGACTGGATGAAAACAAAAACGCGCCGGGGGTTCATCCACTGTAATTGTGTGCGGTGTGTGCTGGCATTTTGCAAACAGGCGCTGGCCATCACCCGTCAATCAACAAACACATACTGTTCTGCTTCATTAACGAATAAAGCTTTTCCCACCATATATCGTGCGGCTTCGTCCGATCCGCTGCATTTTACAACATAAACAGACAGACCCAAGATGCCCGCACGCGTATCTACCCGGTCCACGCGGACCTCGGCCGCCGTTTCGCACAAATCCTCCGCAGCGACAGTCGGCTCCCGAGCCTCAACAGCGTCCCGCTCCTCTTCGCTTGCCCTCGATGTCCCGACCGAAAGACCCGACAGTGAACTTCGCAGCCAGGTGTGTGCCGTCTTCCGAGATGCGCAGAAAAACACAGCGTCACACCGCAAGCTCGTCGTCACCTTGCGCAAGATTCAGGAGGCCTGCGCCTACGAGCCGACCAGCCTGAAGAAGTCGACAGCAAATGAGTTTGACGAGGAAGCTTTCAACTCCGAGTTCGTCCGGTGTGTCCTGAGAGTGATGCCAATCAAAAAGACAGAGGCCGTTGGAGAGAAGACGATCCGATTTATTGGTTTCTTCTTGCGACACGCAAATGACAAAGACAACGAGATCCTGGGAGAGATCGACGAGGACGCCAGCGTCATGCCCGAGACCCCTAGCACCAGACTTACCAGCTACCTCATGAGCACGGTTCTGCCCCTGATGGTTGCCAAGGACAAGTTTGTGCGGTACAGATCCACTCAATTGATTTCGCACATCATTAACTCGCTCGATGCCATCGACGATGATCTCTTCCAAAAACTTCGGCATGGCCTCCTTAAGCGCATTCATGATAAGGAGGCCATGGTCCGCGCGCAGGCAGTTCTGGGCTTGGGGCGTCTGGCTGGCAATCAAGTCAACGCTGCAGACGAAGACGATGATGACGATGACGCCAGCGGGCTGCTTGAGAAGCTCCTAGAGGTTCTCCAAAACGATCCCAGCGCAGATGTGAGGCGGTCGCTTCTCGTTAACCTCCCGATCCTTCCCGCCACCCTCCCCTACCTATTGGAACGCGCCAGGGATCAAGATGCTTTGACTCGCAGGGCAGTCTACTCGCGACTTCTGCCAGCTCTCGGTGATTTCCGACATCTCTCGCTTTCGATGAGAGAGAAACTCCTCAGGTGGGGTCTCCGCGATAGAGACGAAAATGTGCGCAAGTCCGCAGGCAGACTTTTCCGCGAACGGTGGATCGAAGACTGCGCTGGCGTTGCACCACCCGAAGAAGGGGCTCCGCCCGCCGAACCTTCACCTCCGAACTTCGATGGTCTCCTTGAGCTTCTGGAACGAATCGATGTTGTGAACTCCGGTGTAGAGAACGGCGTCGCTCTTGAGGCAATGAAAGGCTTCTGGGAAGGAAGACCTGACTACCGGGAAGCTGTCACTTTCGATAACCAATTCTGGGAGACGCTCTCTGCCGAGTCTGTTTTCATGGCTCGCAGTTTCAACGACTTCTGCAGGAACGAGGGTAACGGCAAATTCGAGTCGCTGGTTGAGGAGAAGCTGCCAGAAGTGACTACCCTCGCATTCTACCTGGAGAGATATATTAGCGTCTTGATCGAGGCTATCAAGCGGGTTTCTGAGATTGAAGGCGAAGAGGACGAAGAAGAAGACACTGTGGAGCAGGAGTTCATCGTCGAGCAGCTGCTTCATATCGCCATCACCCTCGATTACTCTGACGAGGTCGGTCGTCGCAAGATGTTCGCTCTCCTCCGCCAGTCGCTCTCAGTCCCAGAGCTTCCGGATGATGTAACAAAACTCACTATCAATGTCCTCAGGGACATCTGCGCGCCAGACAACGCCGGCGAGAAGGAGTTCTGTTCGGTGGTTCTCGAGGCCGTCGCTGATGTTCACGACACAATCGTCGATGACCCTGCACCGGACGACCGCACTGAAGACAGCTTCCACTCAGCGAGGTCTGAGGTCAGCGGCGACGCTACGCCCACGAGAGGCGGAAGTCGGCAGAAGAGCCCCGAGCTCAGCGAAGAAGAAGCTCGAGCAAAGGCTGTCAAGGAGATTATGATCAACATGAAGTGCTTGCATATCGTGCAGTGCATGTTGTCCAACGTCGCGGGCAATCTGCAACAGAATGACCATTTGGTTTCGATGCTCAACAACCTTGTGGTCCCTGCTGTTCGCAGCCACGAGGCACCGGTGCGTGAGAGGGGCCTTGTGTGTCTGGGTCTCTGCTCCCTGCTCGACAGATCCCTGGCCGAGGAGAACCTGACACTCTTCATGCACTTCTTCACTAAGGGTCATACTGCCCTTCAGATTACAGCCCTGCAGATTCTTACCGACATCCTCAATGTCCATGGAGCGCAATTGCTCAGCTCAACGCCAGCGCTACTCAAGATTTATATCAAAGCACTCAAATCGGGCACGAAGTCGCCCGAAGTCCAGGCTGCCGCCACACTGGCTGTTTCTAAGCTGCTACTGGGACGTGTCGTAACGGACCCTGAAGCTTCAGCTGAAATGCTCAAGACACTCGTCGTCCAATACTTCGACCCCGTTACAGCTACCAACCAAAGCGTTAGACAGGCTCTTAACTACTTCCTGCCCGTCTTCTGCTACTCGCGGGCTGAAAACCAAGATCTTATGCGTACCGTCGCACTGGATGCTCTGCACGCACTCCTAAACGTCCGCGAGAGCCTGGAGGACGACGACGCCGATGTCGATGAAGATATGGAGAGCTTGACGACCATCGGTGCTTGTCTAGTGGACTGGACTGATCCCCGCAAGTGTTTCAACCCTGCCACTGGTCTTGACCTAGAGAAGAAGACTGTCAATGGTGACATTCACTTGGACTTTGCTTTGGATATCCTGGACCGCCTGAACAGCAGCATAAGCAGTAAGTCAACCTCAGTGGTGGCAAGATCCAAGTATCAATACTGACTACTCTTACAGAGGATGAGAAGAAGGTGGTGGCGTCGCTACTCGGAAAATTGTATATTTCGCCCACTAGCACGGAGGAGAAGATCCGAGAAGTATACGACGAGGTCACAATCGCCGTCAACGACAGGCTGATCTCCGACACAACTGGTCGAAATGCCCTCAACAAGGTCCATGTCAGCTTGGGCAAGATTGTTGCCACCCTTGGGGAGCAGCAGGATGGCGAGCTGCGTCGCACAAGCAGAAGCGTGTCCGTCGCCGCTTCCGTCGCCGGGTCCGCTGCTGGCTCCGTTGCAGGGTCCGTCGCGCCGTCTGAGAAGAACGAACCTGACATCAAAGAGGAAGATGAAGACAGCGATGGCACTGTCATCCAGACCACCCTCAAGGAAGACGACAACTCTCTTGTAAGCGAGCTGTTGTCAGATGAAGAGGGGGCGTGAGCAGCAATCATGTTGATGAACTGGGCGGCACTTTTGATGGATGGACAACTGTTCCTGGATCATGGAACAAGGGAGCTTTATGGATTGATGTTTTGACAAGGATTGATGATATACATGTAATGATTGCCCCTTGCGGAATCGACTGCGCAACTACCTACTTCTTTTGCTACTTTCTCGGTTCTCCTGCTCTCTGACAAGATATAATCACGCAGATCCCAGTCGGTACAAGAGGCCGACGATGACGACGTTGATGATTAAATGCTGCCCAATGCTCCAGGCCATGCAGTAAAGGTACTTCGGTGAAAAGACTGTCCACACAAAGAGGTGTGTCCGCAATGCTTCGCAAGCTACCATGATGAAGGTGACACTGCACGCCGTGAAAAGCGTCATGTGACCGATGTGCCGTAAAAACACGTTTCTCCCGTCGGCTGCATCGCCGGCCCTGCGGCTGCGGTACTGAAGCAGTAGCAGGCTCGTTGCGGACGCCCAGTAAATCGGTCCGGCCCAGTTGCCGATAAAGGTCAAGACCCCGACGGCGATGACGCTGAAGCCCGCGACGCCGTTGTAGGCGCTCGATAGATCGACGGAGGAGATGGCATTGGTGCCGCCGAAGGCGAAGAAGGAGGCGTACTGCACCAGCAAGGAGGTTGTAGAGATCGCGGGCAGGCCGAGGTCGAGGGAAGCGAGGAAAGGAAGCTGAAAGGTGAAAAGCAGGAGGAGCGGTATGTTTGTCACGCGGGACTGGGTGGCGAGGAGGAGGGTGATGAGGTGGTGGAGCAAGGGGGATGTGTGTCTCGCCTCGGCACGCGGGTTAGAGAGCGTGAGGTAGGTTGAGTACGCCGCAGTAGCGGCAATACCGGCAAAGACGGTCCTGGCCCGGGTTACAAGAGACAGGCCCTGGGTAAGGGCGTTGAGGGTCGCCGGGACGCCGGTGACGAGCTCGGGAGCGTCTTCATTGGTGAAGGCCACCTTGAAGGTAAAGGCAGAGAGGGCAAGGGTGGCGGACGTGGTGACTACGAGGGCGCGAGGCAGGCCGCGGAGTTGTCTAAGGATTTGGACAAAGAGAAAGAGATAAGTCAAGCTAACGAGGATCCAGAGGAAATGAGGGTTCGCCGCGATGAAAGTCTTGACGATGTCGGGCTCGCCGGCGCGCTTTTGGCCCGTCTGATTCCATCCTCGGATCAGTCTGGTGGCTGTCAATGCGAGCAGGAGCGAGAGAAGGGTTTTGATAGGGGCGCGAGTGCTGGGGAAACGGTTAGACAGTAGAAGATAAAGGTGCAGGATCGGGCGTGGAGTGCTCACGTCTGCATCTTCTTGATGGCTAGAATGCCCAGCCAGGCGGACGTGGTCCAGTACCAGAAGTGATGCTCTTCTTCCACATAGCTACTCGCGAACATCATGATGCCGTACGCGACTGCGATGGCGAGCAACGGGACGAGGCTGAGCCGGGCGCCGAAGACAAGAGAGCCGGTAGCGAGGACGGCCACGGCTTCGCCAATGTGCAACCTATCCATGTCGTAGTTGCTGGCCATGCCGCTCATGAGATCCTGCGCTCTACTGAGCCACTGCCGGATGTTAGTGGGGTGTGCTCTTTGGTTTAGATAAAGGGGAAGTGGGATGAATGCAAACCTTGGACATGGCTTCGAGCCAGATCGGGTCTAGTTCCGCCTGGCGATCCATGTCTTTGAGTGCGTCATTGACGCGATGCCATTCGCAAGCCAGCTCTTGGGCATCGTCTTGTGGGCCTGTGCAAGCCTCTCGGGCCGAGATGGTTGCGGTGTCGAACATCTCTGGGCCGAACGTCGCTGTTACAACTTTCAATATCTGGCGAGCGTTGCGAATGAGTAACTGGACCTGGTCGTTCCCTGCAAGAGATCAGTGGCTACTCTCCTAGATACAAAGTAGTGTCAACCAACTGTCAGGCCAGAAGGGCAGGAAATCGGAGATGAACGCGCCCAGATTGTTTTTTGGCGCGGGAAAACCTAGCAGAGCACCTAGTGTAGGCACTAGATCCGACTGTTCAACCACGGTATAGTAAGAGAAGTCCTCTTTGAACGCAGCAGGGGCCGACAGGTTGCGTTGCAGGGCCTTTATTTTCGGCGATATGAAGACAAGTGCCGGGGAGGTCTCCCCGGGAGACGAGGCTCCATGGTTACCAGCGTCGTTCATACCGTGGTCTCCGCAGAGGACCAGCAGGGCCGAGGACATGTGACTTTGGGTATCCATAGCGCTGTAGATGCGCTTGACGATGCCATCCATCTCATGCTGTTTAGGGACCATATGCGAGCTGGTGGTGTAAAATCAGCACAGGAGTCCGGAAGACTGCGTCCAATGATGGCCTCACCTTCGTGGTCCCGATTTGTGTCCGATGTGGTCGAGGCCAAGGTAGTGCAAAACCAGCGTGCTCCAGTCGTCATTCTGTAGTTCGGTGTCGATGTGTCTGGTGACATTGTTATCCACCTCGGTGAAGTCCTTTAATGGATCAGCTGAAGAAGACTGAAGACCGATAGTGATTACTCACTGCTACAAAGAAACTCGAAGTGCCGTCAGAGCGGTCGAAGGTTCCGGGAAAGAGCTTCAGCCAGGTATCATCTCCATACATGGCTAGCTTTCCGGCCCCCTTGGCCTTCATCTGTGCTAGCCAAGTGTCCTGAGCGGCCAAAGTGGAAGACGTGTCGGCCTCATCAAGGTTCAGAATGACATCCAAGAAGGACGGGATCGAGCCTGTTGTGATGGCCTTGATTCTGGGCATAGTGACGGTCGGCGACCGAGCATACGCAGTGAAGGGCAGAGCGGCTCCATTACGAATAAGTCTGCTAAACGATCAATAACGCAAAGCCTGCCATGGATTGCGGGGGCTTACTCCTGAGTATATGTAAAACCTGTGCCGTCGGCGTACACGAAGTCGCTGTGTGCAAGCAGTCAACATCTCTCAGGCGTATATTTTTATAGATGCTATTTCTTTACCTTCGCAGGGCATCGACCACCATGAAAATGAGGCGGTCGAAAGGCGCGGCGGGCGGCGGGCCGTAATCTAAAGTTTCATACTGGGCCAGACCAGGGAGAACTGGCTTGTAAGGGAAGAAGCCGGATGCGAAGGTGACAATCGCCAGCGGAATTAGGATATTTGCAACAGTAAGAAGGGTCGCCAGGAAACCCGGACCATATCGAAAAGACATTTTCGTCGCGTATCCATCAAGGTTGTCGTTGAGCGCCGTTTCGTGAAAGGGAGCTTAGGTGTGGGCTTTGGGGTAAAGTTGTCCCCAAGTTTCAACGCCTGGAAGAGGCCGATCTCGTTGATGTGGGAAGATGCCGCCGTGTCATTCAGTCATGTTGCGATTATAAAGAGTGAGCACCACAAGCAACGGCACGTTGAAGGGGTGACGAATGCAAGGCAGCGGCGCTGTTCCGTCAATGTTGTCAAGGTGGTTTGGATCCGAAATAGGTAAAGTGAGTGCCCAGCAGAGAGGCTCAGCTGCGTAATAATTATGGATAAGGAGCATAGATTGAGAAGGACATTGTGACAGCTCTACAGGGACGAGACGCGCCCGGCTGGACGACATTGCATCCGCTGATTGGTTGGGCTCGGTAGAGCGAAGTCCGGGAGCCCTGTCGCAGCACAGAAGGACTCGGCCGATACGGGCAAGAATCCTCCGCTTCCACTACAAGCCCAGTACGTGTATGATTCTCAAACATCAATGACCGTTGTGATTAAACAACAGTGGAAAGGTCGAGACCTGGCATTTTTTATAGTGGATGCATCATTTCAAGAGTCGTACTTATTATTCCATTGCTGCAAATGCGTTCTACTAACTTTTAACCGAGTCGAATGGGGGGAAATGACCCCCCGAACTAACCACAAAAAATAAAATGAAAAATCGATCCCTTTGATCATCCACACAAAACGCCGAGGGGGAACATGCCCAAAGGTGAACTCCTCACAAACAGACTTCCCATGAGGGCGTTTCGCCTTCTTCCTAGCCGTTGGAAGTCGTCTCTTCAACCACAAAGTGTCCATCATGTCAAAAGCAAAATGAACAAACGGCGACGCGCTTAAGCCTTCTTCTTCTTCTGGACACCACCGTGGCGGTCCTTGTATTTAGGGAAGACAACCTTGGATGTCTTCTTCCTCTGCTTCTGGATTCTGCCGGTCCGACGCTTGGGCTTGGCCGAGTCGACATCCATGACTGTCATGAGTGTGAGTTATGTAAAGTGTAAAGGGCGGTGAGTCCTGATTCGACATACCATTATCGTCAGTCCTGGTCGCGGCATCATCGCCGTTGAGTTGCGCTGGATTCATGTCAGCTTCTCATGATATCTTCGGAGACGTAGAATAGCCCAATTGGATATGGTTATGAATGAGCACTCACCGTCAATATGCTGCTGCTCATCATCCATGTCGATGTCGGCCTCCTTCTCAGGCTTGGGCTGCCTGGCTAGTTCCTGCAGCTTCGCCGAAAGACGCTCGGCTCTCGCCTGCTCAACGGGACCAAAGACATTTGCCTTGAGTCTCTGGTTGTTCTTCTTGATGACGCTGGATCTCGAACTCTTGGCCATCGTTGCGGAGGTTGCCTCAGCGGCTGGTGTTTTAGAATATACGGGGCAGATTCACCGAATAAGTGTATCACCAAGGTTTCTCTGGTCGAAAGATGCTTCCAGCTGTGAGTTGAGAGTAATCTGTTGTCGTTGACAGGGTGAAAGTGACTGTGCGAGAGCGAGCGGTAGTTCTCTTCAGTGAGAGTGAACGTAGGAAATTTTACGCAGGCAGTCGCCGAGTCGCCCCGCCTCCCGATCCAGACACCCACTGACACGCAGCAATCCCTGAAAGGGTCTCACGCTGGGCCAGAAAACGGCCTGCCACTGTCCAATCCGCGTCTCGGGGCCTGCCGGCTATTGCCACCCCACTCCATCCAAAGGCCCATTTCCAATTCACACAAGCGTTCTCCTGCCTGCAAAGGGCGAGCCGATGAGACAGATGGATGGTGGCCTTGCCGCTCGGATGAGGGCGCCATATTTGATTTAGAGGACGTAGATACTGAAACAGCAGTGGCCGCGTCCACTGTAGCCTCGATAATACTCAGGTGTTTAGATGCCTATAATGGCTGTGTGGTCTCCTCCCATTTAGTCCCACACCCACCTAGCCCTCTCTCGGTGCACTAAGATACACTTGCAATACTATCCTCAGATTGTCTTCACAGAAGCCTACCCCCCAAAGCCGGCGCCAGTCGCGAACGACATCAAATCCTTGCCGACCCAAAGAATAGCCCGCTGACTGGCTTAACCACGCCTTGTCTGCTCCGACTCGCATCGCCGTTTTGTCGTGCGCTTCTCGCTATTCTGGCACGCTTTTTTCGTTGAGCAATATAGTCGAGTTTGGGGTCAGGGTGTCACCACTACCCGTGCCGTCGTCACGGTTTCTCCGTTAGGCCCTGCACCAAAAACACATCCAAGAGGAGAAAGTCGCCGCAATCAACACCCACTATTACCACCACCACCACCGCCGCCGCTGACAGTCAGGAGAGCCAGTGCACAGCTACCCTGCCCTTGCTATCCTCGACTGACGGCAACTTCCCCACGCACTTTGCTCCTGCTTGTCGGCGCGCACCACGAGCCTCGTCGCTCCTGCCTCGCGTGGTCGCGCTCATGGTTCTTCTTTCCATTTGAGCCCGTCCGTCTTCTTTCCTTCTCTGTCTTTCTTCTTTCCTGTATCTGCCCACGCTATTGCTACAGCTACTAGAACCACTGCCAGAAAATCCGAAGCCATCGACATCTGCGCGCTCCCCACGGCCGAAGTCGATCCGACGTCGCACCCGCAAACCTTCATGAGGCTATCACCGACCGCACCACCGCGACTTGTCCACCTCGCCCGGGAAACATGACCTCCATCCCGAGGCAGGAGCTGCAAGCTCTGGTCAAATTGGTTAACAGCAACCAACTACTCAACCGCCAGCTTTCCAGCATCTGCCAGCTGAACGGCCTCACTAGTAGTGGCGTGAAGGCATCGCTGCAGAGTCGCATTGTGAACGGTAAGTCGCCCCCTGCTCCTTGTGCTCCTTCCCCCTTCTTCGCTGTTTCTTGGTGACTTCTGCCGCTCGCAGACTTCGGTTTTTTTCCCGTCTACTTTGGCTGACTTGTGCCCGTCAGCTATTCAGGAGGCATACAACCTCAATGATGTGACTCGCTTTCAACAAATCCAACGAAGCATCGAAACCACAAGAACAGGTGCATCCTCTTCGCCCGCCTCCCATAAGCAGGGTCGCCCTTCCGCAGCGACTACGCCCGTACCTATGTTGCGGCAAGATCCATACTGGGGAACCTCGCGCAGCGCTCGCCCTGGCGGTCTGAATGCGCACGCTCTGCCCAGTTACGGATCAAGTGGTACGTTGGCCAGAAAACGACTCATCTGCAGACGTCTAATTGCCCGCAGGACCTTCATTCAGGAATAGCCCGTTTTACGAGATACAGTTCCGGGTTGGAGATGTCCGCACTTGCGAAGGTACGTCATGGATCTGCTATCCTTTGGTTGCAAGTCCCAGGAATTAACTAGTATCCAGCCATGACCCAGCACAGGAATATGGTGTCTGTCCCGGTCAGAGCCAGCGAGAACCCAGGAGTCAGCAGAGTTCTCGAAGACAAATCGCTGCGCATCATGGTGTTCTGCGCCGCGGACAATAGCGGAACCCAAGACATTTCCTTCCCCCACCAGTCGGAAATCAAGATCAACGGCAATGAGGTCAAGGCGAACCTGAGAGGCTTGAAGAACAAGCCGGGATCGACAAGGCCAGTCGATATCACAAGCTACCTGCGTCTGAAAAACGACAACCGGAATCTCGTTGAGTTCACTTACGCGCTGACTCAAAAGGTGGGTTTTCTCGACGGCACTGTGGTAGGCATCGCCCTGTCCGGCTGCCCCTTGTTGACATCTCTTCGCTTTGCAGAAATTCTACCTCGTTCTTTACGCTTGCAAAATCACCTCGACTCAGGAATTGGCCGATAAGATCAAGGTCGGGAAGAAGATCCCAAAATATAAGGTCATTGAAGAGAGTAGGTTTGCCCGAGCGAGACCCCCGACCTTTCTACCTTACTAAGAAACAATAGTCAGCAAGAAGGCAGCGGATACGGATATCGTGACCACGTCACAAGTCTTGTCTCTCAAATGTCCTCTCTCCTATATGCGTCTCGATGTTCCGTGCCGTTCTGTCAACTGCTCACACATCCAATGCTTTGACGCAACATCATATCTCCAGCTGCAAGAACAAGGCCCCCAGTGGCTCTGTCCCATTTGCAACAAGTCCGCCCCATTTGAGCAGCTGGCTGTTGATGAGTAGGTTCTGTTCTTAGTTGACTATGACTTTCCAGCTGACTCTCGTTCAAGGTATGTCAGGGACATCCTGGCCAACACGTCCAAGTCTCTTGATCAGGTTACGATCGAGCCTGATGGTCAGTGGCGAGTGAACTCGGCACAAAACGATAGCAAGCCTACCAACGGTGGAAGCGGCCTTCTTGATGATGATGACGACGACGACGATTGGGGCATTGTTGAAGTCAATCCTATCCGCAGCCGCAATTTCGAAACACCCAACCGCTCAGTAGCCAGCACGGCTACTCCCACCACAACAGTCATGTCCCGGGAGAGCTCGGCCATGCCGCGAGGCGTGGCCACAACGAGCGGCAAGCGACTTCATTCGGAGAGAGTAACGATAGATCTGACTCTTTCTGATGACGACGAGGAACCCACCGAACCGCCTCCGAAGAGACAGCAGTTGCAGCAGCCGGGCGTGAACAGTTACACCAACGGCTACAGCAGTGGTCTGCCATACTAGGAAGGATTTATTCTTCTTGGTTTCATCTACTGGGCACGGAGTCTGGGGTCAGTCACCTTGACACGTCGTACATATGCCCAATTAAGGCGGATTTGTGCTCATGTATGCTTTTTTTTACCCAGTTGAGCGTGGGCAGGGATGGATGGATAGCTGTTCAGGCGTTTTAGGGGGCAAAACACATCCCGATATCCATGACGGCCGACTATCAAATGTCATGGAAGCAGGGCGACCGTCAGCTGGCGAGCAGAAGTCTGTCTGTTTAGATGGCGAGGGCTAAAGCATCGCCGGGCTCTAGGAGCAGAAGTCTCTCTATTAGCCATCATTGCGGATATGGACTTCGCATAATCAAATACAATTTCTGCGAAGCTTTTCTTGCCACTTCCCTCCCTCCCTTGTCATACTTTTAGCTCTTGTCAGTACCAAATGTCGACTATCGGCAGGCAATCCAGTGAACTCCAGGGCGGGAGTGGGAACGGGGAGCTGCAGTGTGGACCCTGGAGCTCAACATCAGCTCCACACAATTGTCAATGCAGGTAGGTACGTACCTGACCTCATTCATTCGCTCCATCCGTTCGTCTGTCCTTCGTCTACACCTTTACCTTGGCCTCGCACCCATACGGACTGCCCATTGCGATTTTCCCAAGCAAACTCAGCCTCTTATCAGACCGTCGACACTACGAAAGGAAAATCATCGGCGACAAGCCCATACCCCTTGCGAACTCTCACCGCAGCCTTACTCCATCGCAATCTGCCACCAAGCAATTCCCTAGGCGTACAGACAGTCACCTTGCCTCAAGCTGCCAACGAGAAGCATATCGCCGTTTTCCAGACCACGCAAACAAAACAAAACAACCCGAGAAATCCGAACACGTCTTCAACCATGTCGTTCGAGAGCGTCATGCCGCCGTACAACGCCACGGACCCATCGGCCTCCTTCCTCAACTCTTCGTGCCTGGACTTCCTTCTCATCGAGCTTGTGCCCCTAGCCTTCCGCGTGACAAGGGAGCTCGACGACGACCTTCCTTCGGGCGACGCAGCAAATCGTACGGGCGCAGACGCGCCTTCTAGCGCCGGCGACCGTGCATCGGCAGACGCATTGTCATCTGTGAGCCATACTCCTGGCGGAGGTGTAGCCGGCGGCCCTGCGCCGTCGTCCGCGGAGGGTGCCGCGGGGGGCAGCATGGCGCGGAAGATGGACGAGGACGAGGAGCGTGATGCAGTATTCTACCGCCTTGAGACATTGGGATACCGAGTTGGACAGGGGCTTGTGGAGAGGTGCGTGTAGCTTCCAATGTTGCTCGACGTCTCTCCTGTCTTCAGTTCTCTGCGACTAGAAGCCAAGGGCAAGATGAGGTATCATTTGTTCATGTCAAGGCTTAGCGGCTGACTTGCTGTTGGTTGTTGCAGATTCTCAAGGGACCGGCCGCGGTTCAACGACACGCTCGACGTCATCAAGTTCGTCTGCAAGGACCTTTGGTCGCTGGTGTTTAGGAAACAGGTGGACAACCTCAAGACGAATCATAGAGTAGGTCGTCGCGGCACCTTGGGGCGTCCGGTCAGGAGATACTCCAAGTTTTAAAAACGGTGTGCTGACCATTTCACTATTGTATCAGGGCGTTTATGTGTTGACGGACAACTCGTTCAAACCATTCTCGCGAATGAGCACAGAAACTGGCGGACAAGCCGTTGTTCGGGCACAACCGGTACGTTTCGGTCAAGATCACATACTCAATGTGCCAAATTGCTAACTAACCTTGCCAACAGTTCCTCTGGTTTCCATGCGGGATCGTGCGTGGAGCCCTGGCGGCGTTGGGGATTAACGCCACCGTCCAGGCCGAGACGAACGAGCTGCCGGCCGCCATCTTTCAGATCAAGACACTACCATCCAGTGCATAATACCCAGAAAAGCGAGTTGTTTATCGGGTTTCAGTTGCTGTGGCTTTGGGCACAAGCAAGGGCAGTCACAAAGTTGAACAGGGATGCTGTCGCAAGTCCCGATCAGATGGTGCGATCAATTCGAGTTGATTTCGGAAAGTGTCAAACTCCACTTATAACCCAAGCTCCCTAGTGAGTAGATGGAAACACCGCCGATCGTCGCCATATCCCAAAATTACCGACGCCACTCTCGTACGCACCGCGGAATTACGAGCACTTTGACACTGTCCGCTCGTGTGCTACACATCGTACGAGACCAACAGCATCACCTCACAGCCTAGGAAGAAGAAGAATCGATCAGCCATAATTCTCCCTTGGTTATATTTCATCTATTGCCAATTCTTTCTTGTTTGGCTACATTAGGAAGTTGTTGTCATGATGCTTCCTCGAGAGGGTTCAGGGGGCTGTTGCTGAAACAATTGTACAAAAGGGGGTAATCACTTTTGAGGGGGGTTGTGGGCAAAGTCGACACCCTTCTTGATGTTGCCCTTCAATCCCGCAACAGCGGCCTCCAACAGCTTCTTTTCCTTCTCCGTGATGTTGCCGAGGATGTCAACGGCCTTCTCGGCACCGTTGGGCTACGAAACCGTCAGTATGGACGTTTTTGAAGGAAGGATGGGGATGCAGTTGTGCAACTTACGCCAAGCTCAATGGGAACGGAGAAGAAGTCAACGCCTGTCTTCTCGGCGATCTCCTTGCCGCCGGGCACGCCGGGCAGGTAGACGTAGCTAGGCTCAACAAGACCCTTCTCGCCCTTGACGGCCTTGAGAACCTTCTCGGCGAATCTACCACTGTCAGTCTTAATCTTGACAATGGGCGGATTCTGTTCCTACCTGAAACCGGCATAGGCCATGGAGAGGGTGGCGGAACCAGCGCCGTCCTTGGCCTTGACAACCTCGTCACCGCCGAATTGAACGCGGTTGACGAGAGCGTCGTACTTGTCGTCAGGGATGGAGACAGAGGGCTGGACCTGGCTGAACAGGGGTACAATGGTCTCGCCGGAGTGTCCGCCGATGACTGGCACGTTCAGCTCATGGGGCTTGGACTTGCCCGCAACCTCGGCAACGAAGGTCTCGGCTCTGACGATGTCGAGGGTGGTGACACCAAAGAGGCGCTGAGGGTTGAAGACACCCTTGGCCTTGAGGACCTCGGCGGAAATGGGGACGGTTGAGTTAACGGGGTTGGAAATGACGAGGATGAACGCCTTGGGGGCGACCTCGGCGGCGACCTCGATCAGGCCCTTAACAATACCGGCGTTGATGTTGAAGAGGTCATCGCGAGTCATGCCGGGCTTGCCTGGAGGTGCCCTCTATTAGCACGAAAGTAGCGCAGACAACGGGAGCAGGTGGAACTTACGGGGAATGCCGGCGGGGATTACTATGATGTCAGCATCCTTGAAGGCGGCCTTTGCGCCGTCATCCTTGGGTAGGTAGCCGGTGGTCTTCTGTTTACGGGTATTTTTTATTAGCATGCACCGAGGTGGATGGCGCAATACAGTTGAGACTTTAGACGTACCGCGACGGATGAGATGTGAGAAAGGTCGGCGGCAACACCGGGGGTGTTCACAACATCGTAGAGAGCAAGCTCATCGACAAGAGGAGAGAGCTTGAGGAGGAGGGACAGCGGCTAGAGACGAAGAGTTGTTGGTGAGCCTACGCGAATTGGGTTTCCCTGACAAGGCGGGGTTTGTCTGGTGTCACTGTACCTGTCCAATACCGCCAGAGGCGCCAGCAACAACTGAGAGAAGTCAGAACGAAGCCTTATGCGACGGCCCCGAGAGGGGGGAAAGCATACCGGCCTTGACCATTTTGAAGGTTTTTTATGTATCTTGGGTTGGAGACGGGTAACAGAGGTGGTGGCCTAAAGGGTTCTCGCAGATTAGCGGGGTGGTCATTAGAAAGCTCGCGGGCGGGAGAGCTTGCTCGCTCGGCAAGTCAAGCTCTGGCTTGTGATGGTAGTGCTAGACAATGTTTGGAGCTTGTCTACTGGGAGCTCAGAGGAGGAGTCTCGACACACGTACTTGAAATTTCCCTGTGGTTTTCCAAGGTAATATGGGTAAAATAGGATCGGTTGGGAAGTTGTTGGTCAGTATGAGAAGGAGAGAGAAGAAAAGAGGGAGTGAGGGCGAGGTAGAAGTAGTCTGCGCCAGCTGATACCTTGTCCGGAGGCTGTCGGCGGAGACGAAGGTTCGACCGCGGGGGGGCACATTGCGACGGGATTGCTCCCCCCTCGCCCCGTGGGATCGTCTGTGTCATTGGATGGAGGGGCAAGAAGAGGGGCAACAATGGAGGGGAAAGGGGGCCGATACCAGGGGGGGGGCCAGTGCATGCGCAGAATAGCAACCGCAACTGTATTGCAGAAGGCATGCAGGCGCTGTACTACATCGCGCTGCCATGCGCCGCACCCAGCAAGATCATGCTGCTTGCTGCTTTCCATCTATTCGCTTGCTAGTTTGCCCCGGCCCAGTGCTGTTTTTTGTCTCGGGAGTCGGAAAACGAGTGGTTACGTACAAAGAGGGAGGTACCTTTTCCCTCCCGTAGCCGCACTGGGAATGGCTGTCGCAGACAGCTCCTTGTCGTCATTCAACACTCAGACAAAGAAAAGGCCTATGAGACATGCCCAGCCAGAGGAGACTAGGGACTTATCCCCAAGCAGCTTTCCCCCATCTTTCCCACCTCCAACCCGGGTACCTAGGTAGACAGGCGTCTCTGACGAAGCTAAGTCGGAGTTAACCTTCATCAGGTCACCCCCGCCCCCCCCCCCCCCCCAAAAATCCCCCATTCCCCCTCATCCATTTCGCCATTTCCCCCAGCCTGACACATGTGAGAAAGCCGGACACCAAATAGCTTAGCACGGTGCCACGGCAGAATCGCCAGCGAGAAGCCTGTTCTCGTCCATCCATGTTGCTCCCGTCAACTCCCGGGGAATTGGCCAACACGTTCCGATGTCTTCCTGCTTAGGACGTCTTGTCCCGAGCGCAGGGGGGGAGCTCTGTGCTATGTATAGCCAAAACCCGGGTGCGGTAGAAACAAAACGTATCCATACAAGATGCCACCGTATCAAGGCCAGGACCCCATCGTCCGGTGAACCTGTGACTTGCATCATTTCACCATCCTCGACTATGAGACAATACGAGCGACGTATCACGTTTACTATATCTTGAGAGAATAAACTCCCTGGTATCAACACATTTCTTCGATTGCTAAATACAATACTCAGTCAAGTAACAATTGCCTGTTTCTTGTGCATCGTTTACTTTGTATTAAAGTACGTACCCTGCCTGTCAAGGCAATTGATCACGCCCGACTGGCCGTGTTGCCCCGCCATGTTGCAGTACCTATTACCTACCTACTTGCTAAAGGGACCACCGGGTTATAGAGCCTGGGCAACATGAAAAAAAGTATCGAAGTTGGCGAAGATTTACCCCGCGAAACGGGCTCAATCAAAACCCGTCCAGATCCAACAGCACTTGCCAGATAATCTGTCACCGAACAGCAGGCTCAGCTTCGTCATTGTCAGGGACGCCGGATGGTCAAAGCCGAGCCACCCGTCAACATTCCGGTGCTTGCCTATGGTTCCGAGGTTCATCTATGAATCCCTCCCGAGCACAGTCGGGCAACTTCGGGTGACAACTGCTGGCCACGGCACTGCGAACAACGCACGCCGCACTCTGCCTATTACGTCGCCATGTTTTATCATAGCCAATCCACTATTCCCTCCAAGACTTTCTCCTTGGTTGAGGAACATCATCACTATAGCGTACGCCGTTGAGGCACAATGCCTCGCTGACCTTCACGGTGAGAGAGGGAGAAAAGAGTCTCTCCTTGCGAGCAATGAAACCAGTCCCAGTCGTTATTTTTGGCCTTTTGACTCAAGCTTTTGATTTGTTTCCGCCTGTGTCCCTCAAAAAGGTATTCTATTTGCTCGACGTAACGCCCAAACCAAGCCTTTCCCGTCCGCTAAACAGCATGACAACATGTTTATGCCTCAGTCTCGGTGTCGGCCTTCTTGGCCTTGTTGCCGCGGGGCTTCTTCTCGGGGGTGGGCTTCACGGGGCGCTGGGCGCGGCGGATGGCGGAGACACGCTGGACGGCGGCCTCGCGGAGGTCGGCACGATAGCCGCCGGCAGCAGCCTGGCGGGCGACGGCGGAGTAGGTCCTATTTTTTCCTCGTTAACACCTCGTCCTCCATCCCTGGTCATGTGGTAGTGTCCATGCCGAGGAACGACATGGGGCCGGGTCCCAACTCACTTGCGCGCAGACTTGTTGCCGCCGTATGTGACCTCAGTGAGGCTCTTGGCGGGCTTGTTGCCGTTCTTCTGGTTCTTGCTGATCACCTTGACACCGCCCTTCTCGTTGGGGACAACGCCGATGGCCTAATCATCGCTCCTGTCAGTGACTGTTGTTCGAGATCGTTGGTTCGTTCGCATGTGTAGGGTGTCGGGTTCGCGACTGAGGGTGCGAGTGTATGTACCTTGTCGTTGACGAAGCCAGCGTACTGCATCGATGGTTAGCCAAACCGCCATGGTCCCCGTCGTTCGTTTCCACGGTTGGGCCTTTGACATACCTTGCGGGAGTGCTTGTTGACCAAGTTAAGGGGGTCGCGGGAGAGCTGGAGACCGCCGGCATCGTTGCGGTTGACCAGGAACGCATTCTGGCTGCCTGTGTGTCGAGAGAAACGAGAGCTGGTGAGCAATGGTTGTCCTCATTTTCTTTTTTTTTTCCTTCTTCTTTCCGCGAGAGTTCTGTACTACACGCGCAGCCGGACGTCGGAATGCAACTTACGGACGACCTCCCAGATCAGGTCCGAGGAAACGTTGGGCAGAGTGGCGGCCATTTTGACTGATTTGAGGGATCACGGAATGGTTGATGAATACCTTCACGATTCTCTGTTCGCTCCTTCTGGGTGTTCGTAGCAGAATTCAATGTGTGGGCTATCGCTTAGGTATCGGTTTGTGGACTAGCGCAATACGGGTCCACTTATCTTATCGTAGCGCCACGTCCGACACCCCTCCGGGGCACAAAAGCCCTCCTCGGCGGGCCGGCACGGTTGTGGCTGGTGATGGCGGTGCATTCTACGAAACCCCCTGTTATTCCTTGTCGACATCATCACAACTGAACCGACAGTGTGACGACTTGTCAGCCGAGGGCTTACTTGGATCATGCTTTTGTTGTGTCCTCGTGCTTTTTGGAGACATGGCTTGCCTCAAGAGGGTTCGACAAACTTTGACAAGTCAACCGCACGAGGCCTCTCCCTGATAGTGAGTCGATGTCGGAGTCTGGTCAACCTCTTGGCATGCTTTCTTCCGTCAATGGCTCTGTTCTAATTTCGATTTGGTCTTGCTATAATCTTCGAGTCGGTTGTGGCTGGTGTGTCGTGGAAGCAACCCTTCTCCTCCCATCAATGCTTGTTTGGTCAGAGTGGCGTGGCCATCATAACACCCAGCGAGCCAGCTAACAGGGCCAGCAACTTCACACATCGCCTGGCACTATATTTCTGAAACCTCTTTCAATATGTGTGTGTGAATTTATAAAGAATAGCACTGTGAGACGTTAGTAACCATGTGATCGAGAGTGTGCCGAGATAAACTTGACTATTCCCATCGTACAACATTTTTCCGAGAACACAATACCATGTCTGGAACGTAGTACATGGCCTGGGCAGAGATATGAGCATCAACCCAGAACACACCAGCCCCCATATACGGGTATCTTCGTGACGTTTCATCAAGGTCTGTGATATAAGACGTCAAGGACGCCTAAGCATTGTGGTTCAAGACATTCAGTGATGTATTTGGCACAGATACATGCATCCAAGACGACCCCCATAGACCTTTTTGACTCCATCCTTGTATTCTACGCCTTGATCAAACTACAATACGTACGGGGCAATGAAAGGATTAGACACCGGGTTTTACATCCAAAACATCACCCTTGGTAAGCATCGAGATACCCATCCACAGTTACAGCTGCATCGTAACACCTGGGAACAAGCCTTACTGCTTGGTGCTCTAAAAATACAAAGTACTTGTAAGCCTACGTCGAGGATGGTGCAGCATTGGCAACCAGTATGCGTATCACGCATCACTATCATACAACCATATGTAGCGACTGCCGACATCGAAAAATGTTAAACAAAACGACGTTTGAGTGCTATGTAATCTAAGTTCATATCGGTTCCGCAAGGTTTCCTGAGTTTTGCCATATGGTTGGCGATCGTAATAGAAACTGGTCTTCAAAGAGTGCATGTCCTACTGTATTGGAACTCTCCAATTTCCCAAAACATCAAGAACGGTTCCCAGTATTGATTATTGTATTGCTAACAAATGCGCTACCTGCCATGTAGGCGGACGGCCCTTCGAGACAAGCAGATCTGAACATGTGTATGTAGATAGATACCTCTGACTTCCAGGAGAGTTGAGGGTGGATTTCCACTCGTTGACATAGATTTGCAATGAACAGGATGTATGTCACATGGCTATAGCACCTCCTTGGACAGGACGTCAGCGGTGATGGGTGTACATCATCGTAGCTTGGGAGAACCTGGTGTATCGCAGCTTTGATTGCAAAGTCCCAGCCCTGAATGCATGATACTATAATCTGAAAGCAAGTTTTAGTCAATAAACAATGGGAACTGAGGGAGTTAAGATCAAGCTATTGTATGCTTGGTCACCACATAGCTTCAGACATAGCACGAACGACATCAAAAAGTACAATCGCAGGCAACTATACAGATATCAACCCTCTGCTGTTCTTTACTGTATACTATAAAGAAACACAGCATAAGGGGTTCGCAAGCGTCGTACATTTTTAGAGTCTAGTTTATGAACGGCAGAGCGCCAGGAAGAGTATAGCAAAAAATTAGCATATACACCAGAGTCAACTACATGACCTCCTGGTGGGAGCATGTTGTCTATGTCTCCAACCGTCATTCAACGGAAACACCTCAACGGTCAGCGGCAACATAGCTCTCCGCTGAATGGGAAAAAATTTGGTGTAATGGTCATAGCGAGCTCCTCGAGAATACACGTCAGTCACCACTCTTCTCTCTGCCTACACCCAGGCTGACAATCCAACTCTTGATTAACGATTGCATATGCTCATGCGGTTTCGGGGAAGATTGACACCCTGTCAATCTCAAACTGTGCAGCGATACACACCCCATTCATACCCGAAAAGTGACAGCTTTTCAACCAAGGTGCCCCCGAGATTCTCACGTTGATGCAACTGAACGTCGCCACACAAGAAAACATCTGTGTATCAGAATGGACAGACAAGTGCTATTGCAAACTCACGGCTTATATACAATCCGGGCACTTCCGGGCAAAGCCACAGAGAATCGAGTCCGGTCTGTTTCCTCAACCCGTCATTGTGAGATCGTCTAGACGAAGCTGGGCCGTCGCCGCTTGTGCCAGGAGATGTTGGTTATCCAAACTCCACTGTAAAGTTCGGCACGGAAATCTTCTGGAAGGAGGTGTTTTGAAAAAGACAGAGGCTGAGACAGCGGTGTGCAGTCTTGCGCAGGCACTGAGCACGAAGCGAAATAGTATTCGACCCGGAGGCGTCGGCAGTGATGGCAAGAGATTGACGGAAGGTTACCTGCCTCTGTCGGAGCTGGACGAAGATAGGTATCCTAGCTGCGGGCGGCGCCCCACCTTGGCTGCGAGGTCTCCCAAACCGCCCGGGCACTATGTCGTAATCAGCTTTGGGATCTTCACAACCCATATTGACTTTTGAGTCGCTGGTGCGTTGTCCATCGCCGCTCGCGGCAGTCCTCCCGCGTGGGGTGCTCAGCGTGGGCCTGGAGCCTAGCGACGTTTGTTAGGAGTGCCGGTGATATCCCGGGCGTTGAAACCTATCTCCTTTGGGCATCCGGAGAAAACCCGCGGCCCGTGCATGCCCAGGGAATCGCCGTCGAAGGAGCAGCTTACGTGATACGAGGCGGTTGGTTCGTTCCATTCCAGCGGCCTCCCTTGCAGCAGCAGCATGCGGCACCCGATGCCGTTAATGGCCTTGCGCCCGCCCCACCCTTACGTACCGTACCGCCTTCTCAGTTGTGAACAAGGCATGGTAAATGAAAGTGAAACCCCCAAGCCCAGGCGCGCACCTGCGCCTGTACCTGTAGGACCAAACGGAAATACAGGACCGCTGACAGCCCGAGAGGCCTGCGCCTAGGTACCCAGGTACCTAATTGCGACAATCACAAGGCCAGGCAACTCCTAAACGGCCCCGAGAGCCATGCGCACTTATGCAGCCGCTTTCCCCCCTCAATTATCCCACAGCCGGCCAGCGTTCGTCATCTCGTTTCCCTTCCTGCAACACCACTTTACCCTTCCTTTCCTGCAAATAGTCAAACACGACCGGCGCCCGACCACCTGCAGGTCTCGATATGATTGCTTAAACCCACCGAACGGCAGTCTCTGACCGTTTCGACTTGCCCCCCACTGAATTTTCGGTTAACCCAAGACGTCTTTCCTTGTCGTTTCCTTACCTCGTGCCATTCGTCTTACACCGCGGCCACATCGTCGTCGCATTTTAGCAGACCGGGAGGGATCCCAGCTCGACGCAGCTAAGCATCGCCCAACACCAACACAACCAGCGCATCAAATCACGTTGGACCAGAACCACAACTTCACCACACCGACACCGCCTCATTGACCGACCGACTGACCGCCAAGATGGCTTACCTCTTGTACTCGGTCTCCTTCCTCCTCCTCGTTACCGCCACGGCTCTCTACTTCACCCGCTCCTACTGGCTCCCTCACCTCCCCGACCTTCCGTTCCCCGGCCGCGAATACATCTACTCGCGGCTTCCTTCGAGCTTCGCTGGCGACATGGATGCCGGCCTCTCGAGCTCCACCTTTGACCTCGCGGCCAACGTCGAGTCGGGCGATGCCCGCGCCGGCCTCGACGACCGGTCCAAGGCCGAGATCCTCAAGATCATGAAGAAGCGCCGCCTGAAGTTTGACGATGCCCGCAGGGTTTACATGCAGCAGCGCTTCAAGGCAAATGGCATCGGACCCGACGGGCGCCCGCTGGACCCCAAGGCCGTGACCTTCAGCTAAATGCGCCAGGACGAGGTGCTGCCAAGGGGAAGGGGCTGCTCGGATGGGCCGGAGGTAACCATCCCGAGCCGCGCTGCGTGGGCCGCCTTGATGCGCCCCATTTTGAAGCGCAGGACGAGAGGGATAAGAGATATCCGAGGGACGAAGGGATCCCTCACGGCTGAAAATACCACGTCGGTTATATATCACGATACTTGATGTTCGCTGGCCGCACAACCTTACTGGCACCCACCGAACTATTACATGTCAATACCGACACCAACTACTTTCCTTGCTTTGTCATTGCGCCGATATCCCGCGTGTTCTTGGAGAAATTAGGCGTTGTAGCGTTGATTTCCTATGTTTTGGGCTCTTCTTACTTGGAAGCACATTTAAGGGGGAGGGGGTAATGGACGAGAGAATGGGTGTGTGCGCGGTATGCTTCGCATCGCCCGCGGCACCGTTTCGAGGTGGCTTTCTTCCACGTAGAGCGCTTGCGATTCGAGGCTTCAATATTACACTCAGTTCTTGTTCTCGTTCCAGATCCCTTGCCGTCATCTCGTCGAGAAACGGCTCCACCGGTAACTCGTATGTCTCTCAACCCGTGCAGCACCAGGTCGGAGCGCCACTCGCGTTGACGACCTCGTCGTACTTCATGTCAAATTTTGTATTAGTGTCGCGAGCTCTTCGTGACGGAGGCCGGATATGAGTAGCTATTACCTTTGTGTCTCATCCGCGAGGACGGCGTATCGAATCGTCTCATCTTGGGGCTGTCCCGTCATATGCAACCCCCATTTCCTACAGCATCAACATGTGCCGGTTTCTATGTACAATCGAACGCCTAGCAATATCCAGGCATTACAAGAAGGCGAGCCAGCGGGTCCAGCAACGACCGCTGCTGGCTGCCAGGTAAGTGACTAGTGTGCCACATGGGGTCACGCAAGACGACCAGTGGTGGCAACAGGCGCGACCGTCTTCAGTTCTTCTTCTTGGCCTCGGCGACGACGTACTGACGGTCCTCGGTGCCCTCGACCTCCCTCTGGATGTCCTCCATCTCCTTCATGTTAGACTCCCACGTCTCCCGAGACATCTTGGTCTTCTTGTTGAACCAGGCGAGGTCGGGCTTGCGGTAGCTGCCCCCAAGGCGGTCCCAAAGCGTCGTGAACTGGCCGTAGTTGTAGCTGTATTACATGTCATCAGCCTACTGCTCCGTGCACTCGTCGGAAGGCGGGTTGGGGCTCACTTGAAGTATAGGTGGTGGGCCGTATGGCACGCGGAGCCGTTGATGATGGGGTTGTCAGTGATGTACTCACCGTCGTGGATAAGGATGGTCCAGAAGTTGATGAAGACGAACAGAGCCACGTAGGCCAGTTTGTTGAGGGGGAACAACATAGGGTAGATGTGGTAGGGGACGGACTGGACAAAGCCATCGAGCGGATGGAAGGCGTGGCTGGCGTACGGAGAGGGCACGATCCACTTGTGGTGCGGTTTGTGGAGGTGCTTGTAGACGAGTGGGAGGTGCAGCCAGCGGTGAAGCCAGTAGATGCAAAGGTCGGTGAAGAGGATGAAGAGTGGGAATTGCGCCCAGTCATACCAGCGTCCCGGGCCGTCCTCGGTAGCGTCGTAAAGCTTACAGAAGCCGCGGATCTCGGCGACGAAGGTGAGGGCGGTGCAGACGGCCATGATGGGCATGGCTTTGTTGGCCTGCTTCATCTCGAGGCGGATCTGGTTTTTGAGGAACTTGGGGTGGTTGAAGGTCTTCTTGTCAAAGATGAATATGTACGAGAGGGTCGCGAAGACGAAGTAGTTGAGAAGCCCAAAGATCCTGGACATTACTGTGTTAGTGACTGGTTGGATGGCTAGACAGAGCGAGACGACCCCTCCGCCGTATTTTGTCCGCATGAGACATACCAGGTGATGAGGAAAAGGGAAGTGAACTGGCGAAATATGTTGTCCCGAGGCCAAGCGCTCATGTATGCCGCTTCGGAGGGCTCCAAGTAGAGCATGTACGTCGAGGGTTTGTACTTCCATGCCGAAAATGGTAGGGCTGTAGCGTTTACGGTGTGGTGAGGGAAGTCATACGGAGCAGCATGTGCAGGTAGGAGAGCAGCGAAGAATTTGTCGCCGACGAAGGTGTCGACGACCTCGAGAGCAACGTCCATGACGACTTGGACCAAAGAGGGACGGACTTGAGTATCAAAGGGTCTGCTTGCCACGGATGACGGTGACAGAGCAGGAAAGCAACAGAAGAGAGGGAAAGCCGGGGCCTTAGCAGGGAAAAGAGCGGCGTAGGGCGGGTTTTCGAGTCGACGCAGTTGCACGAAGCTGCAGAGGATCGCAGCTGGGGTAGCTCGGGAATGCCTGATCTCATCCAACGTCGAGAAGGAATTCCGATGTAGAGCACAAGGAAGCCGTTGTCTGGTTGCAGCAGGCCGCGGGAACCTGTTCTCGCTTTCCGGAGGGCTTTGAGATGAGGGGTAGCAACGGCAATGGCAGCAATGAAAAGACCAAATGTCTATGCTGCGAAGAGCTTGGGGATAAATTTCGAAGCTGAGAATCAGCTCGAGTTGTGCTGCCTAGCTGTCGAAGCTCTTTGCCAAAGGTTGCGTTGATACTGGAACGTACCCAGCCCTGTGACTTTCTTTTTCTTTTTGGCAGGGACTGATACGACGATCGAACTCAAGATGCGGAAAGGCAGCCGTATAAAGTTGCTATAAGTCAAGGTCGCGAGGTCAAACGGCACAAACCACCCAAAGGTGGGAGTGGACTATCTTTTATTCTGACTCGATCTGTCAATGTCTGTGGCAGGCAAGCTGCGAGACGCAGCATAGTCGGTGTACCCAAAACCCATCTCGCGCTCCTGGAGAGTCGTTCGAGGTTAATATCCCAATGGGATGTTCGTCACTTGGGGAATCGCATGATCCAGCCGAATGGGCCCTGTCGTCCCGTTTTCGACGTTGACGTTGGGTGGACAGCCAGGGAGCCCGCTAGCATGGTCCATTGGCGAATGAGACGCACCCAACTCGTATTCGGATTCAGGGCAGGTCGGGCACCGACCAATCAAGACCTAGAGTCCAGCCTGTTGGGTCAGTGGTGGTTGTTACCTACCTTACCTGACTTTACCCAAGATCTGATTAGTATCATCTTTTTTGCAAACGATCTGGGCGTTTGACGTGCAACGGCGGCCAGCCAGCGCCATAGCCTGTTCAGACAGGCCCAGCCGACGCCGCTGCCCAATCGTGGCAGGCAAATCTCGACTCTGGTCGTGGTGTAGGTCTTTGGGCACCCCGTTGGTGGTCCCTCACGTTCTTCGGCTGTTCCCAGAACACAAGGCCGCTGCCCGGGATTCGGGGTTCCAGTATCGGGGTGATTATGCAGCTTTGGCGGCAGGGCCTTCTGAATTGTCCCAGATCCACTCGTGGTGACAAGCTAGACTGGGTTGGGCCGTCGTTTCTGACCACAGCCATACATGGCCGAATCGAGGTACGGTTAACGTACGAAACCACGTGTTGCTAAATGACGAAGTGCTGTGTCGGATGCCAACAGCCACGCCCTTCGGGGTCTGGTGCGGTCGTAATTTCGTAGAGGGTCGCAGAGACGTTTAGCAGCCCTTTCCAAGGCCATCCTTACCCAGGGCGTCGATCTCGACACCCTTATTGAGAGAGAGAGGGGCACTGGCTCGCAGCGCCTAGAACGTCTCCAATGACGGGTGAAACGAGTGATTGCCGGTCGGTGGGCCACTGACTCGGAACGAAGCGGGGGTCGTCCCGGAAGGCAACCTCTAAGTTGTTCCGCCAGCAGTCCGAGGCTTTGCGGTTGTTGTGGGGAACCATAACATCGGAATAAGTTGTGTTAATGCTCGGAGAAGCATGTCCCTGAGCGACTTCGCCAGGAATGGAGAAGGAATTCAATACTTCCCACGACCAGAGTCTTCAACTCATGAGCCAAGGTGACCGGTGGGATGAGTATGCGCAAGCTGCGATGGACTTTGCGCCGTAGTAACGGGTACAGGTAGAATGCCAGAGCAATTTGGTCGGCGGCCAGTGGGTTAAGCCTATTTCGGAAGATATTATGTCAGCGCCAGCAAAAACAATATTCCGACTTGACTGACTAATGACAAGGCCAGGATTCAGAAAGTTATATAAAGTTAAAAACTCCTCAGATTTAAGCAATTTAAAGTTAAAACAAAATAGAGGCAACAGCTATAATTAATTTAAAAACTTGCTATATTATATAATCTATTTAATTAAAGAGTAATACCTTTATTATAATAGTAAGTTTATATGTGTTGCTAGTACTCTTTAAAGGTTAGATATAAGGGCTTAATCTTAGGCAACGTGGGCGTCTGTTAGCGATAGTGGATTTATAGCAAAAAGGGCGGTGGTTGTAGTGGCGGTAGAAGTGGCGGTGGTGGCAGTGCCTTCTAGATAGGGTTAGTCTCTGGCCGCCGACCAAATTGCTCTGGCATTCTACCTGTACCTGTAGTAACGGCCTCTGGAAAAGGGGTACTCGCGGGGTTACAGTCAACCACATAAACAATCAGCCAGGAATTGGCGAGGATACGAGTATATGTAAATGGATGGCCGCGCCCTTTGCGCTTCGGACCTTGGCAAAATAGTACAAAAAGCAGAGCATAGGTACTTACCTACCTACTTGAGCTAGCGGTTGACCTGTGTACTCGTACCCGATGAGCTTTTGCAGGGCAGGCCTGGCTGGCACTAAGCTACCTACGCTATCTAGCCCTGCTCACACATGACCTCCACCCGTCTTCACTGAGCCTAGCCGCTTACCTCAGCTGGAACCCCTAACAATGGTAAGTCACCTAACCCATCTCGCCATTCCAACGCTAACGCAACCGAAATGCGCCTCAATCACTTCCTGGGCTGAGGGCTGCTGTTGTTACCAGATGAGTGTGGCCAACCACGCTGCGCCCGTCCACCTCCATTACGCCCTAGCCGCCTCCTGAAAAAAATATAATGGTGCTTCGACCGCATCTTCCGAGTAGGTTGACGGGGTAGTTGTTGCACAGGTCCTGGCGTGTCGTCCGAGACCAGGCTATCGTTGTATGTGATGCCGAGTTATAATTCAACTTGGACGGTCATGAGATGACGCGATAATCGCGGCCTGATGAGTTGCATCTTTTGTTCGGCGTAAGATGTGATCTCTTGTCGCTGTGAGGTGAGTTGCAGCATAATGATCGGCCCTGGTGACACGTAACGGGATGCCGACCTCTGTGAGTCGAGGCACAGTATTCTGATCAATATCTGCCAGAGTTGCTGCATGGTAGGATGCTGTGGTAGGCATGAGCACCCTACATCGACGGCGGATGGCGCGTGGCATCATTTGTTGATTGACGGGTACATATCAGGGGTCGAACTGCTGTTTGTCCCCACTCCTACCAGTAATGCCGCAAGGGCGGCTGTGCGCCAAGGAGCAGGCAGCAAGATGACACACACACACACACACACACAGAGAGAGAGAGAGAGACAGAGAAGGGGGGGAGTACGAAGGTAACCATGAAGAAGAAACAAAGAGAGGACGGAAGTAAAGAAGAAAAACATCGTCAAGAGATGGATGGGGTGTGGGTGGACGCAAGGTAGTCTGTAGTAGGTGGTGAGTACGGATATAACTACCGTATACCCACACCCGTGACCTGCAAGCTCTTGCTAACCGAGCTGTTTGTGTGCGGTGTGTGTGTATACGCGCGTGTTCCCGGTCTGTTTGGCCTATCCGTACCCATAATCACTACATGACATTGCATGGCGCATGCTGTTGGCGGCAGTGATGTGATGGTACACTACACTACCATGAGAGGGAGCGGGAGCCGGGGGCTGGCTGAGCGGGATCATTGGTGAGCTTACACCGTACTTAATTCACCTTTTCTTACTGCTACGCAGTGGCTTGATAGTCCTGACGATGACCTACGGGGGCATGGAACATTTCCACAGCTTCCATGCCCGAAGTGGGGGATAAGATGACCACCGTCATGGCCACCGCCCACAGGCCTTGACCTACTCAACTCTGTGTAGACAGACTCATGACGAATAACTAACTCACCGTACTTACAGCGAACGGATGGCCGAAGAACTGTAACGCATTTTTCCATCTTGCCAACCTTATCGTTAGCTGGCGGCGGTGGCGCGTCGGCTTCCTAACAAGAGCGGCAGAAGTAATATCCGTAGGCCACTGTCAATCCTTTACGACGCAAGACATCAACGGCCGCTTGACTGGGGAAAGCATTTCTGTCTCTAGGTAGCTGTTTGCTACACACCAAGTACCTAAGTTGGGTTTATGTATGGCAAGGTCTCACCTTGGCCTACTGATAACGTCTTGCTGCCGCACCCAACGGAGCCTTCGGCACCAAGTACACGCATGTGTTAACATGTAAGGTACAGTTGACGCGGGAGCTTCTCTCGGTCCTCAGACGTCGTCAAACCCGCTCTTGTTTCCGTCTTCCGCTCGGCGCACACCCATGACCAGACCAGACCAGGCCAGACGATCCACAACGGACACAACCTTCTCACTCACAGGCACCACACCAAGCGCATACCTATCCCTCCGACCCTGATCCTTGACCCTTTCCTTACTCCGAACGACGCCTCCACCCCACCCCCTTCCGTATTCTAACCGTCCTCCCTCCTATACGTTCGCCTACATACCCTTTGTTCAAACAACAAACCCTTATTCATCATCGGAAACAACAGCCGCATCCAAACCACACGCTGCAAATCACCTACCTGCCTACCAAACTAGGTACTACACATGCTAGTGCACGATGTATGTACCTGCTGAGTGGTATAATGCCTAATCCGTCACGTCTTTCGTCTTTCTCGAATGGAACATTCTCCGTCCGTACCCACAACCCACACCCTCGTCTTCTCCGCCACATCCACACACTCACTTTCGGATGCACCCCCCGTGTGTCCTTGGGGTTTTCCACAAGCTGCGCCGTTGCATCTCAAGATGCTGTCTCCAACCCGCGTTTTCCGCGATGCTCAACCTTGCTGACAGGACATCACCAATAGTGCTCAAATGCTTCACTTCCTCATTTGAAGATTGTCATATACGATAGGGCGGATTGACTCATATCTTACGCAGAGAGAGAGAGAGAGAGAGAGTTAGGCTTACCTAGTGCCTTTTTTTTGCAAAACTTCTTGAATGACGAACCTGCATCGCAATGTTTCTGAGATTTGTGCGTGATACGGAAAGACAAAAACATGATGTAGAAGGTACGCACCCTGTTAGCCATCATCGTAAGTTAACGGGTCTCAAAACTTTGCATTGCAGACGTAGGTACGTAGGTCGTTGATCAAGGAACGGAATCATATACCGCCAAGATGTTTACATCGCGTTCGGGTGTAGTAGCATTTTGTTGTTATCGTTGGTGTTGGTGTTGGTGGTGGATGGCTACAAGGTGACAGCAAGTCGGGTGAGTGGCCAACTGTGGTAGATTGACGAATACCACACTCACCACCTACCTACCTACCTATATTCGTATGGACGACAGCAAACCAAAGGCTGGACGGTCGTTGACAGGTACTTACCTACTGTACCTAGCCCTGCGCCTGTTGGACTACCCAGTGTACATCGTACCGGTAGTGTAGGCTCAAGGTATGAGCTGCACCCCACTCTAGCACCACCCCCCGCTCCGAAGGCAAGGTAGCTGAGGCACCAGAGCACCCCTGCCCTACACTACTATGTATTGAACCGATTCAGTCGCCGCCGCCTGGGACCCACTCACCCAAGCCAAGCCCGGACAGATTGAAACTACCCACACCCGCTGGGAGGAACACTTCAAGCAAGCGCCACATGGGAAGGACCCATATTTCGAGCCAGCTCACCCTCCAAAAGTCGACACGCACAGACCTTGCTTTATGGTGGCGTAGCGGCCTCCTGGCTGATACTTTACGACTACATGGCTGCCATCCACGCTTCCAGTTCCAAACCCTGAGCCGAGTGCCCTAATGCCCCTGTACCTTTCCGCGCAGCCCGATGTATCCTCATCGGGCGAGCTACTTGTCAAGCTTGGCGTGCAATTGGTTCCAGGGGGGGGGGGGGGGGGGGGGGGCGGCATAGAGCAGTTCACCTTTCTCTCTCTCACACTCCTTCTCTCTCGTGGGATCCACATTTGGATCACATCCCCAGGCGGCTCCCATCCCCGTCTCTCTCGCTCTTCTTTTTCTCGGCCTGTGCACCTTGCACCCTGCACCAGTCTCCTCTCTTCCACTCGCCAGCCTCTTCAGCCGGGTCCTTTCTCTCCTTCCTCTCTTTGCCTACCCGAACTTTTCTTTCCGTTCCTCTCTCCCCCCCCCATCTCCGCCGTGACAACCTCGACACGCGCGCGCGCACACACACACATCCTCCCTCCCTCTCTTTCTCACACACACAACATAACACATCACCATCATCATCAATCGATCACCAAGCTGCATTCATCTCATCGTCACCCCCCCCCCCCCCCCAACCTACGACAGCATCGATATCGCGCATCCAGCTGCGCCTCCCTGCCTGGACGGCTCTGCCGCTGCCGACACTCGAAACTCTCAGGGGACGTTACCCAAGGCAAACCGCGCCTTGTCATTGTACACCCACCGATTGAAGGGCGCCCCATTGCGGCAACCGCCAAATTTTTACGAGCCACGATTTCCATAAGGAAACTCGACGCATCGTGTTCATCGTCTTCATCGTCGACTTTTGAGAGGAAAACCCAATCATCCTTCATCTTCTGATACTCGGCGATCCATCTTTACCGACGTCCACCTCCCCGGCCCGGCGATCCGTGTATCTGCAGCCCTGATCATTGTCCCTGACTGCAACAATTGTCACCATGTCCATGTATCCGCATCGCGCCATGGGCGCGGTGCCCCCCAATAACTCGGCCCGGCTCAACGAGCTCCTCGACCAGATCAGAACCGAGTTCGACACGCAGATGCGCCAGACCGAGGGATACGAACATCAGAGTAAGACGACTGCGTCTGGTCGCTCTTGTTGCTGTCGCTAACTGTCCTTTTAGTCCAGGCCCAGGTCCAGGAGATGCAGCTCGTCAGAGAAAAGGTTTACGCGATGGAGCAGACGCAGATGAATTTGAAGCAAAAGTATGTCCGCTACCGATGCAATCTCGACTTTCCGATAAGCTATGAAAATGCTAATAGTAAACTTCAAATAGGTACGAGGAAGAGATTGCTATGCTCCGACGCCAGCTTGAGGGGGCCCGCGGAAACGCGCCGCCTAGCATTGGCGGCCCCCCTCCTCACGCCGGACCGTCGCAACAGCCTCCCTCCATTACTCCCGGGACTGGCCTCTTCAACGGCATCATGACCGGCGGCGGCCAGGCCCAACTGGCCCCTCCCCCTCCCCCTCCTCCGCCTCAGGACCAGCAAATGGGCCCGCAACATCAGATGGCACAAGGCCCCCAGGCCTCCCTGGCCCGCCGCCGCCGCCCCCTCAGTCGCAGCAGCCTTTCCAGCAATATCCCCAGGGTCCTGGCGGACCCGTCTCTAACGGCCTTGGCTCCCAGCCTCCTCAGACGACCGCATCGCCTGGCCCCGGCAGACGCGGAATTGGGCGACCTCCCGCGGCTGTTGGTCCGGCTACTCCTCAGATCAACACCCCGATTCCATTCCCCGGCGCTACGCAGTCGCCCCAAGTCAGCCACCCGACGCCTGATCACGCGCGGATGGGAGGTCCTCATGCCCCTCCTGTGGGAAACGCCCTTGGCGATCTTGACCCTGATCGCCTGCCTCCCCATTCCAAGAAATCGGGTCACGACTGGTTCGTCATCTTCAACCAGCATGTACCGCGGATGCTTGACGTCGACCTTGTCCACACTCTTGCGCACGAGAGTGTTGTCTGCTGTGTGCGATTCAGCCACGACGGCAAGTACGTTGCCACCGGGTGCAACCGGTCCGCCCAGATTTACGATGTTCAGTCCGGCGAGAAGCTGTGCGTTCTTCAGGACGACACTGTCGACATCACCGGGGATCTTTACATCCGCAGCGTCTGCTTCAGTCCCGATGGCAAGTACCTTGCTACTGGTGCCGAGGACAAGTTGATCAGAGTAAGTAGAACGAAAACGGATGTTTGGCCAGACCATGCTAACCTAACCGCCTTTTCAGGTATGGGATATCCAGTCCAGGCAGATTCGCAACACCTTCTCTGGTCACGAGCAGGACATCTACTCGCTTGACTTTGCCCGCGACGGTCGCACGATTGCTTCCGGAAGTGGAGACAGGACCGTCCGTCTCTGGGATATTGAGCAGGGTACCAACACTCTTACTTTGACCATTGAGGACGGTGTCACGACGGTCGCCATCTCTCCCGACACCAAGTATGTCGCGGCTGGTTCGCTTGACAAGAGCGTCCGCGTTTGGGATATCCACCAGGGATACCTCCTGGAGCGACTTGAGGGCCCCGACGGCCACAAGGACAGTGTCTACAGTGTTGCTTTCTCCCCCAACGGCAGAGACCTGGTCAGTGGCAGTTTGGACAAGACTATCAAGATGTGGGAGTTAAGCACGCCTCGTGGTCTTCCCAACCCCGGTCCCAAGGGAGGACGTTGCGTCAAGACTTTCGAAGGACACAGAGTGAGTAGCTCCCCAGACTAACAAGTTAAGCCGCACTGGTATGCTGACAAGAATAGGATTTTGTTCTCTCCGTCGCTCTGACTCCCGATGCTGCCTGGGTCATGTCCGGTTCCAAGGACCGCGGCGTGCAATTCTGGGATCCTCGCACTGGAGCCACACAGTTGATGCTTCAGGGTCACAAGAACAGTGTTATCTCCGTCGCTCCCAGCCCGACGGGAGGCTACTTCGCCACCGGCTCTGGTGATATGCGGGCGCGCATCTGGTCATACCGAAGTGTCCAGTAGGAAGCTGGAGTCAACTTTTTGTGGGTTTCGTGAGTGGCAGATATGTATACCAAATAGCAGTCTCGAGTAAATGGTGCTCTGTCACTGGGGGTTTTTGTGGTGAAATCTGTTGTCTCTGACTTACGTCTTGGGACACCCTCAGTTGAGGAGACGGACAGGACGGTCGGGGGCGCACTGGCAGGGGACATGTCGGAATCTCGTAGCAAATAGCCGTCGCTAATGAAAGATTTGAAAGCTTTACACGAATTGGGTTGGAATATATACACGGGTAGTTCTACATGAGCGAACTGAACAAATCCGAAAACTCATCGCCCCTTTTTGACTTCTTCTTGCTAGGCTTCTTCTCCGACCTTGTTTCCTTGACCCGTCTGCTGGGTTCCGGCTCGGTGATGGGGGCATCAACCAGCTTGCGTTTCTTTTTGCTCGCAATGGGCGCTATAGCGACAGCCTTGGCGTCCTCTTTCATTGTTGGACGGCGACCTGGGGTTTTAGCGATCAGCTTCATCTGGTCTCGGGAGATGGCCACGCCGAGACCCATTGACTCTGGATTCATCTGGCCTTCCTTGGCCGTGACCGCATCACGATGGCTCGTCGATGAGTTGGCCATGGGCAGCATTGCATCACCTCCCTTGGGCTGTCGAGGGATCAAGGGAGCAATAGCAGAGTTTATACGGGCCAGAACGCCCAGTAAAACCAGGCCTAGGGCGGCATGCTGGCTATCTGCGGCCAACTGACTGAAGGCTCTGATGATACCATGTTAGTTCACGAGAGACACGTGGCAGAGTCGCGTCTTAGGCCTCCAAGGTGGCGGGGGACGGGGCAACAACGACATACAAAAATGACGATGGGATGGCTGTGTCGAGCAATAGCCGCGCCCTGTTGGCGACGTCCTCGCCAAACGCTTCGCCCCGCCGGTCCCCGTTGCCGGTGCGGGCGCCGGCGCTGACCTTGCCGGCCAATCTCTTCGAGGGCGCCCTGAAGCTCTGGGCGTGGTTGTGGCGGACGCGGGCCTCGAGGGCGTCGTGAAGACGTCTGACGGAGCGGCGGAGGAGGTCGAACTGGGACCACCAGCGGGCGACACGGTGCTGGTTTTTGTTGCGGTGGTTGAAGCCGTCGAGGATCTGGAGGACGGGGACCAGGGCGTCGATTGTGGGCTGGTGAAGGTCGGCCGGGACGGCGGGGTTCATGGTTCGGCTCGCTCTGCGCGCGCGCGCGCGCGAGGATGGGAAGCGCGTGTTCTAGACGTGATTTGGACTTCAAGAGGGGGTTTTCCCTTTCCTTCTTCTTCTTCTTTTTGTTTTATTTTATTTTTAGTCGCCGGCTAGCGAGTTAAGTCGTCGATGATGGGAAACGGGCTCCTGTACCTTGGCTGGCTTGTTTTTATTTATTTCTCCTGTCATAGTGGGGGGGGGGGACCGTGCACCTCCGCCTCTTGTTCTTTCCGTAGTACATTTATCTTTTTTAAGTTATGCATGCACGAGCGAACGGGTATCGAAGCAGACTTTGACTGACCAGGCGTTGGGCTGGGTTCGGATCGGTGAGAGTTTAAATTAGCTCGGTAATGTAATGTATGGCGAGGTCAGGTTAGGTAAAGTTGTATTAGGGGGGGGGGGTTTCCGTCTTTCGGACTATGGGATCTGCAGAGGAGGAGGTCGTTGACTTTTTGTCTGGGTGAGCCGCATGGGATCTTGCATGGGACAAGCTGGCAACCGCCACGAGACCAAACGAAACCAAGCCCGACATTACTTCACTATTCACAGCCAGCCACTCAGGACAGAGCCGGCGAAGTCGGAGGAAGCAGAAGCAGAAGAAGAAAATGATGACGGTGGTGTTGACGATCAAGAATATACCCGGCGGTTTTGGAAGGGGCGTCGGAACAAAGAAAAAGCCACGTCTGTGCGGGGAGTCGGGCTCCTGGTTGGAAGGGGGAATATGGTCTTGGGCGATCCGGGGGGTCATGGGTTTGATCGCGACATTTGCCTATCCATAGACAGTCTCAACTAGGAGAGGTGCGGCCATGGTGCCAGATGAGGCGATTGCGATGGGCAGCACAGCATGTGAGCACGAGGCTCAGGCATCCGAGGGGCACGGGAATTTTGAGTTCATGACTGGCACTGAGAGGGATTGAAAACTTACGAATAATCCCTCACTGACTGCACTTTTGGCACTGACTTGTCGCTATCCGTCCCCTTCCCTAGTTGTGATAGCCTCTTCTCGCATTTGACCTCCATGCATGAACCTGTCTCATCGCGGGGCATTGGATGACATGGCAGGCGGGACTGTACTGAAGTGCCGTGGAGGAATAAGGTATGCAAGTAGCGGTGAGTAGCAGCGGCACGGGGAAGAGCCCGCGGGTATCCTGGGGTTATCTGCGTACCACGCACAATATAGACTCTAACCGGGGTTCTGAGGTAAAACACAGACCTACTATGGTATCGGGCCAAAGTTTAACCCCCTCGTCAGGTAAATATGGCTGTGCTTTTTTGATTACCTCAGCGACGGTACTTTGAGGTTCTTGTGCACATCCATCATAATTCTGGCCAGTGAGAGTCTAGCGTACGTGGGTCACAACTCCACACTACCTGTTAGGGAGTTTTTACTTACCCATCACACGTAGTAACAAGCCTCCCCACCTGTGTTGGAGAAAAGCTATCATGCATTCATACATGCGGATGGTAGGAATAGGTAAAGTCGACAGGGCTGCTTGCTTTTTTCCTGTCCCCTCCTCACCCGTCCCACTTTAGCACCCCCTAGCGACTGCAGTACGTAATATTGTTGCAGGTCTGGCTACCTTAGGTTGGTAGTGTGGAAAGCACTCGGCGATTGGGAGGCACAATTTGGTAGACGCGCAGAGAGCCAGGAAACACAGAGATAGAGAAGGCAAGGACGGGAAGGGGGGCCATGGTGGGGTGGGGGAGGAAGGTGGGGTGCGGAACCGGGGTTGGGCAAGTTCTGGCCGCTGCGAGGCCCTGCAACCTACCTAACCTGCAGATATTGCAGGTTTAAGCCGGTCACCCATTGTCCAACCATAGACGCAGGCGCGATAAGCCGGCCAACTTTTGACGATGTAGACGGCGTCATGGAAACTAAAGTCCTGATATCTAGCTGACTCAGTTTCTTGTTTGGCCCGTCCATCTACCCACGTCCTGCCGGCTTTGTTACCCGGACGAGGTGCGAGCATCGAATCCACTTCCTAGCGCATCAACCTTGTGGTTGCTTGTCTGATGCTCTTGCGTAGCCCGTAGCCCCAGATTGAACTTCTTGGACTCTGTCATGCAGGTGAATCTGCAGATACCTATCGGCGCATCGACGGGTGCTCCATGCGCTGGTACGGTACCGCCGACAATGATAACCTTGGATTATGAGAGTTGAATGACTAGAAGGACCTGTAAACGGCCTAACCTTGTCCATGATCCCCTACCTGGGAATGCCAGCCAGCCCCTCAAAGATCGATACCCTTTCTTACCCCTTGGCTCTGATCTCTGGCTTCCTCTGATTCTCCCATATGGTCTATCGGAAAGCTGGAAGAAGCATTGGCTGGTATCGGGTTGACTGGGGTGGTTTCCTGTCCGAGTGGAAAGTTTCCTTGGCTTTCGAGCATCTACACTGCTTCTTCTCCTCTTCTTCATCACTCCCCCTCCGTTCCGGCCCTACAATCGTCCTTCCACCTTTTTCTCCCATCTTCCCTTCCGCCTCGGTCCCACGGGCGCCTCTAACCAGCAACCAACAACCCACGGAGGTCGATGGAGTTGATTATCTAGCTCCTCTTTTTTTTTTTTTTTTTTTTTTTTTTTTTTTTTTTTTTTTTTTTTTTTTTCCCCTTCCCTCTCTTCTTCCTCTCCTTACACTGCGACGTAACCTTAACTGCTGTTATCTCTGTCGTCCTTTCCGTCCTCCATCCCCACCCCGACGTGGAGCAGGAGAAAAAAAAATAACCCAGTTGGAACCTCGCCAGAGGCTGCTTGCGACAACCTGGACTTCCCACAATCCACTGCACTAGCACCAACTCATCTCCCGCGACATCCCCACTTGGACCGCTTCTGTCAGGGGTGCAAAAGGGTAGATTTGCGACCTACCTCTACACGGCTTTTTGGGCGCCGCGTGTAGCCTGTGTCTCGCGCCACCCGACTGATACTACTACCAGGTATATACAAGTCCGAACGCCCGCGCGCACAAGGGGGGAAAAAGCCAGTCGCGCGACCACCGCGAAATCTACCTCCTTCTCACCTTCTCTATTGTCGCTCCTCTTTGCCATTGCACCCTCGCTCTGGCAACTGTTTTTTTGAATCCATACCGCCAAGGTCTGGTACCCCACGACCTGCTCCCCTCATGGCCTCGAGAAACCCGTCCACTTGGGACGAGTACGAACGGGGCGCATCCCCCCAGCGCTCCGTGAGCATCGACTCCAATGCCGTCGCCGAGGACCAGTCGCTCTTGGGGGAGGACGACGAGGGAGGTTACGGCGGCAATTCTCGTGGGCTTCGTAGAAGGTTGGTCTTTGAACAAAAAACTTGGCAGTACCCTCATGACTTCGCTTGTCGCTTTCGTCGTTACTGCTATGCGATTCTCCCCCGCTAACCCATACATACCCCTCCTTTAGGTCTTCAGTAACACGACACCTTGCCGGCATCACAGATATCGGCGGCGTCAACAGCATTCGCTCTTTCACTCGCAGTTGGGCGCGTGCTGCAGGCTTCGCCGAGGTTATCCCCCAACGGCCATCCTTCGTTTTCGCACCCGACCAGGTCCCCATTGCCTCGGGATCGAACGAGGCCCTCGACTACTCCCGAAGCCATGTCGAGTCAGGTTCGCACCCGAGAACCTCGCTTCTCAGACAGCACCTCGAAGCCACGCCGGAGACGGGTCCTAGCACTTCACACCATAATGGCTCTTCCAGTTCAGTTGCGGACGGTAGCTCGGTCCAGAATGACTTCCGCGACAGAGAGCGCAAAGCCGTCGAGGCGGAAATGTCGGGCGCCATCTACGGCTCAAGCTTCGGCAGCGGCCGCCGGCCTTCGCAGTCCATCTTCGCAGTTCCGCCCCATCTAGCAACGCCGCCGCTGGTTGGCAGCTACAGTTCGTACAGGACGTATGGCACGATAGAGGACGTTGACTCGCCATCGATGGCGCAGGCTGGAGAGCTGTGGCGTCAGCAGCAAGAGGCAGGGGGCAATGTTCCAGATGGAGAGAACATGCCCATTCTCGTGAAGGAGGTTGAGCAGGACGGGAAGATCATCTTGACTGTGGAGGGACAGTCCACGCTTCCCCAAACCATCTTCAACTCGATCAAGTCAGTCGCGCCCCATCCCTGCAAATCTCACCGAAGGCAATTAAGTGCTGACTTGTAACGCAGCGTTCTCATCGGGGTCGGCCTCTTGAGTTTGCCCATGGGAATCAAGTATGCTGGTTGGATCTGCGGCATGGTCATCCTGGCCTGTTCCGCAGCTGTGACTGCCTACACGGCCAAGCTTCTGGCCAAGTGCATGGATCTTGACCCAAGCTTGATTACCTTCTCAGATCTGGCTTACATCTCGTATGGCCGCAATGCGCGTATCGCCACCAGCATTCTCTTCACCCTCGAGCTGCTTGCCGCTTGCGTTGCTCTCATCGTCCTTTTTGCCGACTCTCTGACCCTGCTCTTCCCGGGTTTCTTGAGCGTCAACACCTGGAAGCTAATTTGCTCCGTGATCATGGTTCCCCTCAACTTCCTCCCCCTCCGATTGTTGAGTTTCACCAGCGTCATTGGCATTGTGTGTTGCTTTAGCAGTGAGTTCTGTTTCCTCCCGTGTTCCTGTTGAAAGGGTCCTGGCTGACGTACCGGGTTAGTTGTGGCAATTTTGGTGATCGACGGTCTCATCAAGCCAACAACACCCGGCTCCCTTCTGGAGCCGGCCACGACGTACTTGTTCCCGGCAAACTGGGGCACATTACCATTGAGCTTCGGCCTGCTCATGAGCCCCTGGGGTGGCCACAGTGTATTCCCCAACGTGAGTGCTCACTCAACCCCCACGACGACGGGCTGATGCTGTATATATATATGGAGGCCTATACTGACGGTTCGTTCAGATCTACAGGGACATGCGCCATCCTCACAAGTATCCTCGGGCCGTTAAGACGGTCTTCACGTCCGTGGTGAGTTGACATGCAGCGATGCTACCTCATTGCACCAAATACTAACTGCGATGCAGTATCTCCTCGACGCCTTCACGGCGGTTGTGGGCCTCCTCATGTATGGCGACAACGTCTTGGACGAGATCACGGCCAACATCCTTCGGACAAGCGGTTACCCGCGCGCGCTCAACATCCTGTTGTGTGTCTTTATCGCCATCATTCCTCTGACCAAGATCCCGCTCAACGCCCGGCCGATTGTTGCGACCCTGGAGGTGTTGACCGGCATTCACCAGCAGGCCGTTGCCGACAGCTCAGCTATGGTTGGCCGCTCTGCCACCTTTAGGGGCATCATGAAGGTTGCCATCAGGGTTGTGACTGTATTTGTCTTCCTCATCATCTCCATCCTGTTTCCGGCATTCGACAGCATCATGGCGTTTATGGGCAGTGCACTATGCTTTACCATTTGCGTGCTGTGAGTGAAGCCCCATGCAACTTGGACCCTTTGGGCGAGCCAGCTAACCTCTCCTTCGCAGTTTGCCTCTTGCGTTTTACGTGAAGCTCTTCAGCAAGGAGATCAGTTCCCAGGAGAGGCTCCTTTGCTATGTCTTGATGACTATCTCGACGATCCTGTCTGTTGTAGGCACAGTCTGGGCCTTCCTGCCCAAAAGCCTCATTGGCGCAGAGTAAGCCGGCCGTGTCGACAATGGCTTTTTTGGTACTTGTGTTCGTCGTGGCATAATTGGCGTACTGGAAAATCGCTCAACTCGGCTCATTGCACGGCGCTGGTGGCATCTGGCTCTAAAACCTGCGTGATATATTGGATGCTTTCCTGCATCATTGTTGCGATGCCTCCGTTCATAGCTACTGTTGTGTATCTACGGTCTGTCTATCTGTCCCTCACGGCAATATATAGATGCTTGACTGTGTCGTTTACTACATACACGCGACCTCGCAGTCTTTACAACATATTGGTCCGCAATACTATGTTAATATCCTCCGTCCGTCACTCTT